TTGTAAAACCATATGCATGTACTTTATCTTTAATCTTCCACCCAAAGCCACCTCCCTTTAATCTGCTGTCCTCCCAGCATTCATTTACTCTACTGTAATGTGGGATAGTAGGGATAGTACTTTATTGATCCCCAGAGGGGAAATTCGGGATATAAAAATATACCTTTTCTTATCCACTTCCTCTCAGCTGAATCCAATATTCTAACATAAGTTTATCCCACCTGGGTTCTAGTGGAATTTCTCCACTTTCCACCAACACATAATATCTTGGAGTTGACCTCATTACACCAATGCACCAATCCCAAGGCTCTATTTTGCACCCTGTCTTACTTAGGCGTGATTTGGCTGCTTTCTGTAATGGCATCCACGATCAATCGCTGATCTCATCAGTGCTTTGTATTTATCTCATGATGCCTGTTTGTCTGCGCTCCAGTTTGTTCCTGATATCATTTTCATTAGGTTTAATATTTAGTTCATTTTGTTCCTAGTTTTTTTAGTCTTCCATGTATATTTCTGATCAAGCCAAATTCCTAAATACTTCAATTCTTTCATTTTTCCATTGGTTGCCTGTTGCCTGTACAATTAGAGATTCTTGTTATGCATTTTTCTCTTCCTAGTGAAGTACAAACTACAAGACTTATTGGTCGAGAGTTTAAATCCCCAGGTGTATTTCAATCAGGAGAGTCTTAATTGAGAATGAACAATCATTTATATAACAATAAATGTGCAACAGTTTAGATTTGAATGTGCAAAGTCTTTTGGGGATTAGACTCCATCATGATGACTTCATGTACTCAGAAGGGTAATGAGGCCGACTGCAGGATAGGATACCCCCCTATGGAGTCTAGACCCTGGTGGTGGTGATGATACTCCCCTATGGAGTCTAGACCCTGGTGGTGGTGATGATACCCCCCTATGGAGTCTAGACCTTGGTGGTGGTGATGATACCCCCCTATGGAGTCTAGACACTGGTGGTGGTGATGATACCCCCCTATGGAGTCTAGACCTTGGTGGTGGTGATGATACCCCCCTATGGAGTCTAGACCTTGGTGGTGGTGATGATACCCCCCTATGGAGTCTAGACACTGGTGGTGGTGAAGAGGAATGGAGGCTATGATGAGCCTGAATCTGGACTCTGCTGAGCTGTAATGGAGGTGACTGGGGCGGTGGTGGGTTGCAGCAGTTGCCCTGAAATGACAGAATGACTGTGGGAGAGAGAGAACTGTTTTAGCATTTTGCTGCAGCAGGCTGATTGGTTGAGAGAGGTTGTGCAGAAATCTGGTTGGTTAATTACTTAAAGAATAAACGCCCATTATCAGCTGATCACCAGAGAAGGGAGACAGAGGAAGTATTTTAGGTTGAAGTGAAAGGATGAATGAATTTGTGAAAGAATATAACCAGTCTTCCTGTCTGAACTTACGCTGAGCTCCATGACCACTGTTCTACCTTTAGAATGGCTCTTCTTAACCTTCTGCAGAACATTTTGTTGTTCAAACAGTTGTTATGCCCATTACTGCCACCTTCTGTCAGCATGGCCATTATACATTTAATTTACTATATACGTATTCCTTTAATTTAGAAATATATCAATCGTCCCCTGGGCTAGGCTAAGCATGAACCAGATTGATTTGATTCTTTAGATTTTGTTTTTGTATAAAAAAACGTTTTTTTTCTGTTAAATGCCAAAATATCTTGCAGAACTGTGAGCGCTAAATATCTTGAAGCCCATCTCAGAGCTTTTACTTTCTTCATTGTTTGTTGAACCTCTATAATTCTTTGTTTATCAATTTGAAGCTGCTCAATATGTCAATTATGCAAAATAATTGTGTTTATCACCACTATGACATTTTTCCACAAAATAATCTTTGTTATCGAGATTATCATTCCCAATAAAATCTTTTGATCATCTTTTGCATTATCATCTTATTGAACAGTTATGAAACTAAAATGTCAATTCCTCATCAACATGTAGTCGTTCTTTTTCTAAAGTTAAGATGAAAAACAAATGACAGTCTTTAGAGGGAGCTTCCCAAGTATGTCCTATACACATTTAAAGCTCTGTTCTGCTTCTTCCTCTCATATGTTCCTCCTTATAACGTTTATATTATTTTTCTTTAAGATTTATTTTTGGGCATTTTGTGCCTTTATTGGAGAGATAGGACAGTGGATAGAGTTAGAAATCAGGGAGAAAGAGAGTAGGGAATGACATGCAGGAAAGGAGCCACAGGTCGGATTCAAACCCGCTTGGAGGACTCCATACATGGGGCGCACGCTCTAACCACTGTGCCACCAGCTTCCTATTTATATTTTTATTGAATTTTTAATGTAATGTTAAAATTATAAAATCTTAATATTTATTTAACATTTTCCTTTTAAGCTATTCTAACTATCTGTCAAGCCTGGGGGCTTTTACCTTGTGGTAACCATTATTGGTCTTTTTCATTTAAAAGGAGAAAGATCAATTTGCCATTATCTTTTTATACCACTCTAACAATACTCACAGTTCCTCCCTCTTAATGGAAGTTTGTCCTTGACAATGTAACTTACTGAATGTTACTTAGTGCTCATGATGGATTCATGTTGGGTCTTTGTAGATAATATAACAGAGAGTATAAAGGTCTTTTACCTTCTCTTTTGTGTCTTGAGATAACATTTGTTGTTCTGAATTGCCGCTATACAAACAAAGACTGATTGATTGATTGATTGATACTGATACTAATATTATTGAAAGTGACAGGATCTGTAAAGTTACTTAGTGTCATGTTTTGTTTTTTACTAATTTATTTAGTATTATTGTCTCTCCCTGTTTTATTTTGTACTTACCCTTGTCTTCTTTCAGATCCTGCTCATGTTTTCTTGCCTGGAGCCTCCCTGCCCTGATTGTGCTCACCTGTGTCTCGTTATCCCCTGATTGTCTGTGCGTATATATCTTTGTGTTTCCTCCCCTCATGTTGCCAGTTTGTAGTGTGTTCTGGTGTATCACCTTGTGCCAGCATTTTTCATCGTAGACTAGTAGTGATTTTTGACCGTGCCTGCCTTACCGTTTTGCCTTTTGCCCGCTCCCTTTAGATTTGCTTGCCTTGAAGATTTGCCTTCCTGTGTACCGACCTGGACTGTTATTAAACTCTGCCTTTTCCTGAACTCAGCCACGTGTGAGTCTGCTTTTGAGTCCCTGTCTCTATCTGGTTCTGATAGTAAGCCTTTAACAGTTTTGATCATAGAAAGGGTGTTCATGCTTTACAGTTATGTACATGGAGACTTATCAGAGATGTGAAGCTCATTTAAAGATTGGTGTCAATTACAGTAAAGGAACAATCAGTGAATAAAACACCAGGAAGAGACAATACATTTTAACACTTTAATTGTTGAAAGTTATACAAATATACAAGAAATAGCACAATACACTTACAAGTTTCTTATATTTAAGGCTGTTGAACATTTCCATTGTTTTCTTTCTTTGTAAACATGGGTAAACAGAATGCCTTTGTTATGATTTAATTTGCACCTATGTGAACGCCGCTGTTACAGTACAAAATGTTTTAGCTTAAAGTTATTATTTAGCTTCTCCCAGACCTTTGACCTATCCTATGCCAATGGCTGGGCAAGTTGACTTTGCATTTAAAGGTCACATATTATACTCCTTTTCAACATGTTTAAATAAGTCTCATATGGCCCCAAAACATGTCTGTGAAGTTTCAAATCCACTCTGATCCTGTATTTTATGTCTATAAACCCCTCTATGTCAGCCCTGCTCAGAACAGGCTGTTTCTGTGTCTGTACCTTTAAATATATAAATGATCTATGTGGACCATGCCCCCTCTCTGGAAGGGCTTGGGTTTTCTCGCTCCATGCTCAAATGTTTCCAGTGAGAAGGCAGACTCAGAGGGCAGAATAAACTTCTAGCTGTGGGAGTGTAACCCGGCTGGGGGAGGGGTTACTGCCTTTTGTGATGTCATAAAGGGAACATCGCTAAACGGCCTGTTTGAGCACAAGTTTTCTGAGAAGTGGAGCAGGGAAAAGACTGAGGATGAGCTTTTCTCATCATTGGGGGGTTTGTAGACGGACTAGGAATACTTATGCTGCGTTCCATTTGATCTCGGAAGCCGGAAATTCCGAGTTGACGTCTGATACGTCAGAATTCTGACCCGGAAACTCTGAGAATCTTTAGTAGTCCAAATTCAAATCCAATATGGCTGCTGCTCGACAGGGATGTTTAAGCTGTAACTGTTGTCTTTTTGTGGAATTAAATCAATCTCTGTGGAGGTGTTGTCATGTTATTTCAGGTCAGAAACTATCAGGCAGTGTGTAGTTATCATCTGGTGTTAGCTAACAAAAAAAAGGTACTCCATGTTGCTTGTCTGACTTGCAACTGGAACGCAGTTAACTCGAGAGTGACGTCATTCCCAGCTCCGAAATCCGAGTTCCGAGGTAAATGGAACGCACCAATGTGTTAGAAAAACATGGTTTAGTGTATATCGTATAATATGTGACATTTAAGATATAAACACAGGAATGTGTCACCCAGGTCAAGGATGAATCTCTTGTGCTTAAAAAGACAATCATACTTCTTTCATTCTTGTGAACAGTCACATGATCCTTGATAATGCAGTTAAGACGGTTCAAATCAATACTACTCTCAGCAGCTTTACCCTGATGCTGTAATAAAAGACATTGTGGTGTCTAATGTGATTAATGTTGTTCTACCTGTCTATCTTCACATTCAAGTCAAAGCATGTCCCAATACATTCTTCACATAATGCAGTGTTATTACCAAATGTAACCTCAAAGCACAACAGTTACACAGTATATCTACTGTAAGTACCTTCAATATTATTTAAAGAAGAGTTTAAAAAATCCTACTATTTGCTACTGAAATAAAAAAAAGGCGTGAGAGTTCCCATGAAGTATAACAGTTACAAACCTGAGCTCCAGTATTTCAGAGACTCTCCCTCTGCTGTTCTAAGTAGACCTGTATCATTCACAGTCCATTCTTTTCTAGATTTCTTCTTATAGTTGGCTAAACTGGAAAGGTTCCATATTGAGCAATTGTTCGTTAGCTTCTGGTGTGGTCGGTGTTCTTTGTTTTTTCAGCTTCTTGCAGTAAAGTCTAACATGGATCGGATGAATGAGAGCAAGAAGGGACAGCAAGGTGACAGCTACATTCACCTGTGAAAAAAGGAAAGAAAACTTGATTAAAACCAATGGCTTTTTTTAAACTTGTGGAGCTGAATCATCAGCTTAAAGTAAAGCTCATGTCAGAGGAATATCACATCTGAACACTTACATAAAGTGGATCGCCATGCAGCTGATGTTGGATGAGGTGAAGGATTGGAACTTGAAAAACCAGCCCCAGAGCTGACAAGGACATGGCAATCCCTGAAATCTTCCCAAAATGGGACATAGGAAATCTAGAGTGATTTAAAGGAGATGGAGAGGGAATACAAGAGGACAAGAAGGCACAATTAGGGATGGACATTTTTTTTTTCACTTAAATTGGATGTTCACTCTAAAGTGTGGTGGATAAAGATATTAACGTACGCAATGCTGATGAAGGCTTGATGGCCTCCAAAAAAGAAGGAGCTGTTGATAACCTGCAGGACAAAGGTGAAGTACTGCAGAGGGAGGACAGGACAGGTGAAGCAAACACAGAAGAGGAAACACTGCAGGGAGGTGAGGAAGAGGGAGAGACAGGATGAATTCAGGTCTGCCTCCCGTCTGGTTTCTCCTACGAGATCGAGGAAAGAAGACAAGGTTTAACAGTGAGGCCTTTGCAGGTGAATACATATTATACAGTTTGTAATAAATAAGCATACCTGGAGTATATCAGGAAATACAACTCTTCTTTTTTGTTTTCATTGATTACTGATCGGACAAACTTTTATGAATTCATGCATTTTAGTAACTTTGTGAATGAACCATTTAAATCTGTCTACCATCTAAGAGTAACTCTTCTCTTAGGTTGAAGCTGTAACCATATCTATATAAAACATCTCATAGCAGCAGAGTTATATTTGGTTTGGAGCCAACTGTCTGTTGTAAGAGAAGGTTTACTAAAAATGAAATATATATGTCTGACATTTACGAGTCAAGCTGATGTCTTCTTTCTTGCCTTTTAGAGATGTACCAAAGTAACCAAGAATTTGTAGGATGTACCTTCTAGCAGAAAATAAGCAAGTCTGTTAACATAGAAACTTTGTCAGTTCTTTGTCAGTTCGTGATTGTTAACAAATTGTGTTCTGTTGTAACTATCTGACCTCGGTCGATTAAACCGTATTATAATCCACAGTCTGTTTCACGATTTCATCATTGAATTTATACCGCAGCAACAACCCCCACCTAACAATAACATCGTGTGTTATCATGATTTTAGTTGATATGTGGTGAGTATAGCAATTTTCTAGTGTTCTGACTACTCAAAGCTCTTTTACACCACAGGTCACACCTACACATTCACACACTGATGGTAGAGGCTGCCGAGTAAAGAGTCCATCGGTATTAACTCGCCCATTCATACACATTCACACACTGATGGTAGAGGCCGCCGAGTAAAGAGTCCATCGGTATTAACTCGCCCATTCATACACATTCACACACTCATGGTAGAGGCCGCCGAGTAAAGAGTCCATCGGTATTAACTCATCCATTCATACACATTCACACACTGATGGTAGAGGCTGCTGTGTAACGTGTCCATCAGTATGAATCCCATTCATACACATTCATACACCGCCAACCGCCAACCGCTGGAGCAATTTGGGGTTAAGGGTCTTGCACAAGGACACATCTGAAAATGTGGCTGGGGAGCTGGGGATCGAACCCCAACCTTCCAGTTAAGAGATGACTGACCATTGAGCACAGCCTGATGGCCTACTCTTTCATGCCAAACAGTGTTTGAAAGCATGAATGTGGCTTGTGCTCTGCTTATGGAAGCATCTTGTCAACCGATAATGGTTCATCTCTTTTTAGTTATTTACCGATCTTTTGTGCTAAAATGTGCTTTGCATTTGAAGGTGGAGGTCTTTCAAACACACTCCAGTCATTCATTTAGCCACGAGGTTCACAGAAATACATGTGTGGAATCATACTTTTCATATCAAAAGCTCAGAGTAACTTTGAAGGAATAACTCACCTGAAGCAAGAGGTCTTTTCTTGTGTCTGTCCATGATGACTCCACTCACCGGGGCAAACAAAACACTGCACAGCTGGGTGAGGGCAAATGCATTGGTGTAGTGGCTCACTGGAAATTAGGGATGAAAATGAAAGGGATATTTAGTTTGGAGGAAACTGATTAAAAGGTGTAAAGGGAAAAAAATGATGTTATTAAAAGCAAGCTTATTTTCAATTCTAAAATGTAACCTTGTGGTTTGGGTTTACAAGCTCATGCATAGAAACCAAGGAGATAACTCTGAAGTTGAAGCATTGCTCCAACAACATAGTCAAACAAAAAAAGAAAAAGAAACCAATGGGGCAGATTAACCTAGGCCTGGGACCTGCATTACCTAAATGCAACACAACAGGTAACATACTTTTATCATCATATTATTAGTATATCTAGAATTCTAGAAAGTGTTTTACGGCAATAATCTTCAAGTTTTCTCATTTTCAAGTTTCCTTCAGAAGGTATTCAATGGAAAAGTCACTGTTATGATCCAAGTCTTCAACACTCACCAAAACCCAAATCAAATGTGGTATCCTACTTTAATCAGTACAAGCAGAAAGCAACACAGGGGAGAAAATGTCCCAAGAAATCCAATCATTTTACCTCACCCAAGGTTTGGTCATCATTTGCCAGCCGGTTGAGCATGGGGTTGACGTTGGATAAGAAGATGAACTGACAGAAGAGGATGGTGATCACCCACACCAGGTGCCACAGGAAGAGCCAGGACAAGACACAGCTCCGGAAACTAGCCACTATTAGTACAACAGATGAGGAGTTGAAAAAACAATTTTTGATGTTTAGAAGTTAGCTGCAGTTGCACTTAATTTACACTATTAGACTTTTACAATTTGTAATACTTTAAGCGAAGATAAAAACATTTTTGGCCTTGGTTGGTGCGAATCTCCAGAGACCTGACTGAGTGTTAGGTGGGAGAAGTCACACCAATCGTCAAACTGTTGCTCTTAGGGGCAGGCACAGGGCGGCTGTGGCTTAGTTGGTAGAGTCGTCACCTCTCAACCAGAAGATGTCTGATGTGTACTTGGGCAAGACACTTAACCCTAAATTGCTCCCACTGCTTCAGTGGTGGTGTATGAATGGGATTAGTTACTTCTGATGGATGATACTACATAGTGATCACTACCATCAGTGTGTGAATGTGTGAATGTGTGGGTGTGACCTGCAGTGTAAAAGAGCTTTGAGTAGTCAGAAGACTAGAAAAGTGCTCTACAAGCTCAAGTCCATTTACCATTTACCCTGCGAGTATCAACTTCTCTTTTATCTGCTTTGTCTATTGCTTCCACTTACCCTGACATTAATACCCCCCCACCAAGCTCAAAGTTGGTCTTTGTGAGTTATATCCTGGAAAACAAACAAAGAGAATATCACCTTCCTCGTTCTTGGGCTCGTGCTCTGGCTTTGCTCCATCAGTCTGCTGGTCTTTCTGTGTCTTCTCAAGGTCTTTCTGCTCCTTCATTTCTTCTGTCTCATTATTTTCCTTTTTTTTACTTCCAGGGCATCTTACCCTGTAACAGCAAATGTTGGGAGTGAAAAACTGTAAACCCCCCAGAGGAACACAAAAACATTTAATTGTATCCGTCAATCAAGGAATCTGTCAATAATATAACAAAACTCATCAAATACAAATGGAGCAGGTCTAGACTGCACTCCACATAGTTTTATATACAGACACCCAAGGCAAACAAAAACTCAGTGGTGTAGTGCAGGGTATATAAATCTCCTCTGATTCACGCTATTGATTGATTGACAGTATTCAGTAGGATGCTGCAATTTCTAGGATGGTGAAGGGATGACCCTCCCTACTCTGTCCCTAATTGGCTAGTACACACTAACTTAATATGAGAGAGGAGTCTTATGTCCCTGTTCGTAAAAGAGGCAGTTTATCCTCCGCTGGACAGGACGCTTGGGGAAAAATTAACCACTACACCACTGCAAAAAACTGCCTTTTAACAGGAAGAAACCCTGAACAGAAACAGACTGTAGGTCATTCATTTAGATGAAGATGATGTTTGTTCTGACCCATATGTGTATGACTCCGGCAGCGGGTAGGGGATGTGTCCTCTGGGCATTAAAAAGAAAGTTCGTAGAAGCAGGATGGAGCTACACGAGGTGAGGAAGAGAAATGACAGATACAGAGACACTCCTCGTTCATGAAGCAACTGTAGACAAAGAAAAACAGAGAAGGTGTCGACTTGAGCTTTTTAAGCCCAAGAGCAATTAGGTCTCACTGAAATATTTGTTTCATCTGTTGTAGTTTGAAGGGTTGAATCATAACAGAAATATACAATCTGGTAATCAATAATAATCTAACCCCTGAATTTAGCCAGGTCATGAGATCATGTTCTGATACACATACACACACACTCTTTCCTGGTAATAGACCAGTTGTCCATCCAAGAAACTTCTAGGAAACGGTCTTTATATAGAACACATGTTGTAATTGCCCGGTGTGATGATTGCCCATGACGGGATGATTGAGATGTTATAAAAGAACTGCTCCAAGAGAAATAAACAGATCCTCAATTCACAAGCCATAGTCTCTGTCTGATTGTTCAAGAGCATTTACTCTTCTACATAATGGCGCTGCGAGCACACTAGGAAGAATGACCGGACACCTGCGGCATCCAGGGCTGGAGTGACACTGCACAGTGGCCACAACAAAAGGTAGGAGCTTTATCTTGCCAAAATTTATATGTGCAGTCTGACACCCAATCTCTCTCCTCGCTGGGGCAGCTTGACCCCAGAGTTAGAAGGGAGGAGAGGACGCTGTGTGTTTCAGTAAATTAACCTAGGAATAAAAGGATTAGAAATATCCATTACCTTTACGACAAGAAACACTGCGGCAGAGGAGTCAAAGGCTCCATTGTAGACAGTTATGATGGTGGAGCGATAGAGGTGGAACAGGTTCCCCACCTTAACAGAAAATATCATCCTTTTAAGAATGCTGACACACACACACACACACACACACACACACACACACACACACACACACACACACACACAATGTCTGTTTTAGCCATGGATGAAAACCTACCTGTGCATTAGTGATGTGGAGGATGGTACCAGATATAATGAGACACGACATGGCAGGGTACAGCAGTATAACTGTATCTGTGTGAGGACAGAGCAGAGAGAGGTCAAAGGAAATGTAAAGATGACACCCTCAAATTGCAATGTACACAACAACATACCTTCGTTTAACAGTGTGATGAACAGTGCACCAGTTGTGTACAAGATTCTGTAGGAATATAAAAAGAACTGTGACATCGCACCATGACAACAACATTTTTTTAATTTTCTTTTTTAGTTTCGAGATTATTCTCGTAAATTAACGAGTTCGAGACCAGCCTGCGCAAAATGATGAAGAAGTATGCAGAAGTATTTTCCTCTGCAGACAGCTTCCTCCAAGTCAGTGTGGTTCTTTTTTCAGTTTCTTTAAGTATCTTTTCAGGGTGCTGATATTTTATGACAATGTGAAGATGATGATGTGCCAAAAGCATGTGTAGTTTCATATCTGCATAAGTAAAGCCCCAACACGAATATTAGTGTCTGTTATCTGTCTGCCTTGTTAAAGTGTCTCATGTGCACAGACAGTTTGTGTCCTGTTCATCATTTTACAGATAAACAAGGTCTTACAAGTTGAAGTGAAAACTTCTCTTTAACTAACTGTTTTTACCAACTATACAAGGAAGTAGCCTATTTCCTTATTAGTGAAACCTCCACGTTAGTCATTTGAGAACAGGATGCTGCTGCTCTTCTGATATAGACTAAAATAACAACTTTCAACAGTCTTTAAAGACTTTAAGACTTCTACTTTCATCATTTTCGTGCAGGCTGATCTCAAACTCGTTAAACAATATCGGACATTTTATTCTAATTTAGTCATAAGCAGAATAAGTTCTGCAGAATACATTCACACCAACAGATAACTTTTTCTTTCCATGTCTTCTGAATTGATAAGCAGTCAGTAAAAAAGTCTGTATTTAAGCTGCTAACGTAGCTTTGGCCTGGATCCTTTAGCTCACCCATATCATGTCTGTAGCCGTCTGGGACTGTCAGCCAGTCTGCATTTTTTGTTGTTGCAAAATCGATTGAGTAAGGGTAACCCTAACCCTGACCGTATGATCGTTCAGTTTGCAAAATCAAGGTTTGTTGATGAGAGACCAGCTTTGTAACACTCTGTTACAAATGAAGGACCAGTTGTTTCAAATATTTGTATGAATCTAAGAGATTTTTCAAGTTTCAAGTAATCTTCGTAATCTGCACGGTGCTGCATGATAATGCAATTGTTGTTGGAAATAGCCACAGTTACAGGGGTACAGTGGGACATGTGACAGCTCATGCAGTCACATGTCAAAGTGACTCTGGGCAAGACACAGAACCCCAAACTGCTCCCACTGCTTTGCCAGTGAGTGATTGTGTGGATTGAATAGTATTGTTGGGCACATAGCAGCCTCTGCCTTCAATGTATGAATGTGGTGTGAATGAGTGGTCAGAAGACTACAACAGTTCTATAGAATTGAATAGAATAGAAAATACTGTGTCTACTTTTGCATGCAAATAAATTGTCTTGCACTTGTAAATATGTGCAAATATGAGCCATACAGAAGGTAATACAGTCAAACAAAATATCACATAAGACTGTACAAGTCCAAGTCCATCAAGTTAGAAGTGAACAACAATATTGTTTTGATCCAGGGGTTGGTTGGCTGGCACCAACATAGATGTTGAAAATTCAAGAGGGAGATGAATGTCTTGACTTAAGTCCAGGGCCATCCATCATAGTAGTTGAGACATTTCAGTCAGGGCCAAAGTAGTGAACCAACAGACCAATGTCACATACCAAAAATCAAGCCACAAACATGGCTCTAATGTTAAAAGGAGTTCTAAAAGACTTAATGTCACACTTAACACAGGTAACATATGGGTAAACACTTTCACCGGACATTTTTTCAAGAAGCAAAAAACACAGTTGAACACAGTTGAAGAGTTCAAGCTGTTTCACTGTCTGCGACCTGCAAAACAGGAGACTTTTCAAATCATGGCTAACCTGAGGGAAAATTGATCTTTCAGGGGGCTGCCGCAGGTCTTACATTAATGGAGTTTTAAAAATGTTTTTAGCTACTTTGAAATGTTCAACTTGAACAAAACGAATGTTAACTGGTTGTGAAAGCTAAAGCAATATCTGCACATATATTAACCTTAACCACCTCATAACATTGAGCCCGGTGAGTTATTTGTCCACATCTAGGAGCTTGTTAGTTTGCAGCATACAGTCTAATTTGCAGCCTGAAGTTTTGAGCAGTGATACCACCAGTTGATTGTTCATAAATAAAAAAACATCCCTTGACAAAAATGTTATACTAAAATAGACTTTCTGTGCACTTACATTGATATTAGCCTTGTTGCTGTAGTCCCAAAGTGGTCGAAGACACATCCAATAGGGAAGCGTATTAGTGTGTTTGTGATAAGAGCGACACACATGACTAGAGAGAACTGCTCATCCTGACCCATGCAATCTGGAAGGAAAAGTAAGGAAATAAATGAATTAGGTATAGAAACTACTGGAAACCACTCAGTTCTTCTGTAGACTGTGTATACGGTGTGTATCAAGGTACAGATCAAGTGGGGACAGCAGGAAAAAAAGATTGCATGTTGTGGTAGAACTGGGCCTGCAGAAAATCAGCAGAAAGAGAAAACCCTCCGAACCTTGGGACGAGAGTAAATAAAAGAGACTTTCAGAAACTGTTGAGTTGCTAAGTCACCCAGTTTATTACATGCAGAATGGAGAGAAGTTCAGCTATGCGTACAGGATACACAAAGTAAGTTCTCTGCCCGCTCTTGGGGCGTACAATCTTTATATACTTGAGCATATAGTGTGATCGAAACTTACAGAGGAGGATCATAGAAACAGGTGCAGCTTTATCTGTATCAGCACCTTGTGGTCAGTGTATAAATATGTGAATGTAGCAGTAACTTGTCCTTGAGAGTTTAAAAAATAGTCCTTATAAGGAGCTGTTGTTGAGTCTGTGTACGTGAGATAAAACAGTCTACGTACGTGAGGTGAGTATCGTGCAAGGTTCGTGTGTTGCAGTGGTCATATAAGGACACGGTGCATGTATACGTGATATGTGTAATGCTATGTGTAATGCATTGGATCAGTTAATGAGCAAACATAAAAGTATAAAGAATATAAGATTCCACAATGTGTACCACATAGGAAAAGCAAACACTAGTGTTGTTTTGCTTGACCTGCACTTTCAGCTGAACTAATTGTCACGTTAATTGTCAAGTTTGTCAAGTCTACATATGGATTGAATTAACTACCAACAAGGGTTAAAAAACATCATCTCTCTGCAAAGACACATTCAGATATAAAAGATAGATTTAGGAAACATGTCTGTGTGAACATCTCTCCACATACAACATGCCCGTTTACCTTACCAATATACACAGCAGGGTCAGAATCTCTGGTAGTGTTGACACAGTATCCAGCAAAGTATCCATCCACTTTAAGCACAAACACGAGAGAAGCCCAGCCAAAGGCCATCCCTGAGAAGAACAAACTCTCTACCAGTCCTGACAGAAGGGTCAACCAGTAGTACGACTTGGCTCCGCTCCCTGGGAATCCAAACATGCTGCCAAACGCTTCTACTTCTGCTGAATGAGGTTGGAATGATAGCGCAAGGCTGTCACAGCGGGACCAGGCGAGGTTTCTTAAAAAAGAACAGACAGGACTGTGACTGGAGTACGACAGAGCTCACCATTGAATCCATTCTGTAGAAAGTGTGTGCTGTGGTAGCAGATTGAAAATTAGGTCATAATCACATCAGAATGCACATCAACACAGAGAGTCTTTGTTGTCTGCCACTTTTGATCACACAGACGCAATCAGTTTAACTGAATCAACACATTGACACTGTGTCAGAAGAGAATCAAAGTTTGACATTACTATAGCATTATTCTATTGTTTGAATAACAGCACAATTCTGCAAGACTTACCTGTCGCACTGCTAGCTGTTGGAAGAATAACGGTTTACTTTCCCATTTCTTGCCACACCCTCTGTCTTTGCTCCTCAGACGTCTCACATCTACTGGCATGCTCTGAGCTGAAAACTGTTTACTATCCTGAATGCCACATCAAGAGTGGGGGTGGTATATCACACCATTTACAGCTGGGAACTCAGGTTGCGCAAGGTTGTTGAGTGCATGAAACTACAAGATGCATTTCTACCCTCTGCTACAGTGAGGTGAGGGTGGATGGAAATTATGATGTGAACTTTGATAATGTTGGATACAAGGACAAAGGTGCAAAAAAAATATCAAGACTCTGCCTCAGAGTGGCACCAAAAGAGAGTCATAAACCGCCTGCATGGTGGCAATATGAAGTTTATATGTAAGATAACGACTTGAATGTAGGACTTTGAGTTTAAGGAACACATGACCGAGTTACATATAAAACAAAAAAGATAAATCCCATCAACAAGTTGGCCCTTCAATACAACAGGTTCATATGGTAATGCTTTCTTGGCAAAAATGTTAATTTCTTTCTTTATTATGATAATACTATTAACTATAATAAACATGATTTATAATGCACTTTTCTTAACATGGTTACAAAGTGCTTCAAAAAACATATGGAGAGATGAAAAGAAAAAAAGGAGTTAAAAGAAGATACAATTAAGACTTCATAAAAGCCTTCCCATAAAAGAAAGTTTTAACAGAGGATTTCAAACAGTCTACAGATGTGGCAGAGAGTCCCACAGTCTATAAGAGCTAGTCATCTTACAAGCTGGGATTTATACAGCCAGACGAGCTGCATCTAATGAACGCAGGGATCCACATAGGAGTTAGAAGATCTCTACAAAATTTGGGGGCAAGGCAATTTAAGGCTTTAAAAAAGAACAATAAGGGGCACTGGTGGTGCAGTGGGTAGTGGCTCCTTTCCCGCATGTCATTCCCCACTCTCTCTCTCCCTGATTTCCATCTCTATCCACTGTCATATCTCTCCAATAAAGGCACAAAAAGCCCAAAAAGAAATCTTAAGAAAAAAAAAAAAATCAATACGATAAAAAAATGGGCAGCTAGAATGAGCTGGCAAGAACAGGAGTGATGTGCTGGTCGTTGTGGTGTTGAAACTCGAGCAGCAGCATTGGCATCTATGGAGGGATCTCTGAATGAAACAATTTCAGAGTACATTTAAGTACATACAGTTAAGAAGACAAGGACTGGAAGATAGGGTGGAAGACATAGCTGGTATTCACTACTTCAAACAGTATTGTAACTGTTTTTTTTTTTACTTGTATAACAGTAGGGTAGGGATGAGTTCATTGTGATGTGTCACATGGTGGTCCCCAGTGGGTATATAATAATTAATCTGCTGACAACAAGAAACAATGTGGGAGTTCTCTGGCTGTCAGGTTCTCTGGTTGTTTTTGGTTCTTTTTTTGTTTCAGTTTATTTTGTTTAGCTTAAAAAAATGTGTATGTATGTGTCATGATTTGGTCTCATTTAGTTTTGTATTTCAGCGTTTAGGTTTCCATGTTTTCATTTCTCCTGTCCATCCTAGTGTTGCTTGTTTCCCTTGTGTGTTTTTGTCTTAATGTTTCATAGTTTAGTCTTTAGTGTTTCCTGTTTTATTTTGTAGTTTCTTCTCCTTGTGTTTCTTTGTAACATTCTTGAGTTCTGTGTGTCTTCAGTGTTTCATGATATAGTTTGCAGTTGTCCTCAATGTTTCTTGTATTGTATTCCTGCCTCTGTGTGTTTCCCTCCGTGTTGTTTACCCTCATTGTCTTCACCTGTGTCGTTAGTCTCACCTGTGTTTGATTACCCCTGTGTCTATATAGTCTCTGTGTTCCTTCCGGCATGTTGTCAGATCATTGTTGTATGTCATTTGCCGGTGTTGTAGTTTCTCGTGTTGGTTTTCCTTTGCTCATTTGGCTACCTGTGTTATTTACCCTTTGTATTTTTTTTTTCAGTTTGGACTTTTTGAATAGGAAGTCTTTCTTAAATTAAATCATTTTTGTTATTCTGCACTTGGCTCCACCTCCCTTGTTTTCCCACACCCATGACGGTATGTTTTAGCATGTGTATATAAAAGCACTGTGCTAACTTTCTGAATATTATTGTGTTATTATCATGCTTATGATGATGATGATGATGATGATGATTCTGTTTCTGTTTCTTTTTCTTTTTCTTCTAAATCAGTGTTATACGTTGTGCGTTTTTCACATACATAGGCCTAACAAATAAACTGTGGATCACTAATGAGGTCTAAATGCTGTCGATGTTCTGATCTTGCTTCTACTTTCCTTTGAAGTGCTGCAGTTTTAACGAAGAAAAAAACAAAGGTAATGAATATCATTTATTTATATATTTGAGTCAAAAGATTTTTCACAGATCCGATGTTGCAGTGATCTTCATTGAAGCTGCTCAGTATCCCATATTGGGTCAAAGGGTCTCAGCACAGTACTGAATTGTCACCCAAAACATTCCACTGGGGTGGCCTGTTTACCAAAACCTGTTCTGAAACAGCTGTCATCGCATCTGGAATTATTGCAAAACACGACGCACAGTGTAGTGTAATTTATCCTGTTCTATTCAGAACTCTGTCCATTTTCTTTCATCCAATCCAGAATACATGGTTTAATGAATGAATTTCCTCAACAGATCTCAGCGTCAACCAAACTGTAAACACAGGCTCTGGTATTTGATTCATTGGACCAGACAGCCTGTGCTAAATGCAGCATTTGGGAACAAACTTTCAAACTGCTGTTATGTAGCTGCTCTTCTTTACTGTTCTCAATGACAAGATCTGCTCCTCATTAAAGACTAGATCTGTGAAGTGTTGACAATAAAGGCAGTCAAACTGTCAAATGTAGGCAGACTCAGAAACAAGCTCAGAGGGATTCAAACAAACCAAACTCTGCACTCACTGAGTTGAACCAGTTACGGCAGTCTATTATCATCCCAGCACATTAACACAGCTATCTGCCACCAGTTTTCTTTAAGAACTTGAATAAAAAAGCAGGCTTTGACTTGACATAGGTGAGTGGATGTATAACAGAGAAAATCCTTCTTTAAATGAACACATTTCTTACAGTTGATAACAGTGCTTTTTATGCCAGTGAGGAGAAAACAACAGAGCATACAGTCACAGCCTTTAAAGTCCTGCCTGATTGAAAGTGTGATCACAGGTGGATGAAAAGGTCATTCAAATAGTGAGGACAACAAATAATGTGTAAATGTGTTACTCACATGGCTGCTGATGTTCTGTGCTGTTAAAATCTGTGACCTGTATGAATCTGAGCATTCATAAATAAAATTGCCCTCTCTCTCCAGTGTCGAAGGTTATGTTCTCTGTTTGGTTTGTTTATCAGGATCGCAGGGACCAATGTAGCAAGGCATCTCTTATTCTTCCTGATGTCAACAATCTGTTAATCGCTCCCCTGTTCCATCATACTGCTATTCCCAGATGATCCGTTGTGTTTGTAGCGCAGTATCATGTTCCCTTGTACATCGCGGCACAGAGTCCTCACACCTTTGCACTCCACTCTATTTGTCACTTGTCTCACTATAACCTGACCCACAGACACTGCCAGCTTTTGTGTAACACTGAAACTGGAGTATAGTGGAGTAATGTGTAACTTCATCAGTTCATTGCTCTTTACTTTGCATCACTGACATTTAAAAAAACACAGGATTAGAAATACTACAAGAAAATCTTAAATGATCATCTAAGGGAAAGATGTAATGAAATTTACGCAATCCCAGTACAAACATGAATTTTCTTATAAATATGCTTAGTTTGCACACTGCTAAATAGTAAAAGCATTTGTGACCTTAACCTTTAAAATAACCAGGTTACAATAAAAAAGACTTTCATTATGGTATGTTTTTAGTCTTGATAAAAACATAAATAATGATGTGCTGACAGCGGTTGATAAAGAACATTGTGGTAATAAATTACAGTATAGCACCACTTACTGGCCGCTGGTGGTACTACGCTCCTAGGCCTTTGTGCTTTGTCTGCTTTAGTTGTCTGCTGCCAAGTAACATCAATTTTGTCTGATAAGATCAGATATGAGTAACCATTGAAATCATCAGTAATCATTTAAAGACAGACCCCTTTTAGAGGTTCAGTAATATGCATTATTGCTGTGTTATTCTTACAGATGGTTCTTTTATCATCTGTACATTTTGAAGCTAGTCAAGGTTGAGATCATTTTAAGGGGGCAAATACGATCAACAGATAAGTGGCATCATTTAAAATGTTTTTTCTGCAACTATTTTAATAATTAAAAGTTAAGTTAATTATTATTAATTAATAATTTTTCAAGAAATGATAGAGAAAAAAAAAAGTACAGATCCCACTGTCTCAAAAAAGCTCAGAGCATTCAGAATGATCCATGTCAGACTGGACACTTTCTGTTTGAACTGCCCTCAGGCAGGCGTTTCAGGACAATTATAACCTGGACAAACAGACTGAAAAACTGTTTCTACCCGAGAGCTGTGACTGCACTTAATACTGCACAAAATGTTGTGTTAAATGTTGAGTAATCTGTAAATTGAAATATGTACCTCAGCAGAATGTGTATGTGTGTGAAAGTGTGGTGTGATGTGTTTTTAGTATCCTCTTATTGTTATTTTTTATTTACTGCGTTCTAAATGTAATGACAAATAAAGATATTATTTTTCTGATGCTCAGTACTTTGTTGCTCCTGTTATGGTTTCAGTTTAAATCAAAACCCCAAAGCAGAGACTGACACAGATATACAATGTAACAAAAAACCTGTTCAATGTTCAAAAAGAGCAGGCAGTGAAGTTCAGGGAGCTGGCTGGCCAGAAAAATAATCCACAAGGTGATGCAGGAAACTCAGGCGAAGCAACTTGAGAACAGTGAGGCACACCGGAGTACCTGAGCACAAGAAAAAACAGGTAAGAACAAAAAAACATCCAGAGCACAAAGATTCACTGTGAAAATAAGCAGCTCAATAATCACTGAGAGACACTACCGAACAAGACGGAATTATCTGGCAGAGTAGTGGAGTGAAGATCAGATTTTATAGAGGAGATGGTTAACTGAGTGCCTCGCCTGCTGCTGAGTGGAGAAGCCAGCCGCACCCACTGCCACTCACATACCTGCAGGAGAAAAAAAACAGAAAGGGGAGGGGGAGAACAAATACAAAAAACCCTACAGCAAAACCAAAACCAAACAGAATCATCACAGCTCCAGCTACTTACATGTGAGGATTTGCAGCTAGACCAACTATGCCTTTGGTGCATTCACAAGCTTCTGACATTGTAAAGACAAAAAATAACGTTACAAATATTTTTATGATCAGAACTTTGACTTTTTTATATAGTGCTTATCCTAAGCTATATAACAACCCATCACATTAAATCAAAGGATATAAATGTGTAAAAAGTCAAATTATAGCAATTATAACTGTGAAATGTAATTTATGCACCTGATTAAATTGACAATAGTTCCCTTGAAATGTAAGTTAATGGAAGAAGCATACATTTAAAAAAAAATTCTACCTATTTGGGGTTTATCATTCTATCAAATGTAATTAGTAGAGATGGACCTATTTGGAAAATCCGGGCAGATGCCGATTCCGATGTTTGAAATTAAAATTTTGCCTGGTTGCAGATTCCAGTACCGATGTTGGTTTCATGAATTTTTCATTGGTTTTCAGTGTTTCAGTGTAACACTCCCACAATGTCAACATTTTAAATGTTTGACAATAAAAGCAAGTCAGAGTGATTTCATCTGCCCAAAACAACTCTTCTCTGAAATAGCAGTTAGATGTAGATACCAGCATTAAATTGATTTGGCACAACAAGTAATCATCGGCGACTGAAATCGGTTCATCCCACAATGTTTGATGATGTGCTGATGTCTGTCAACAGAGCCAATAATAGCCGTTATCAATTTTGAACCGATGCCTCAATACATCCCTAGTAATTTTTTTATTTTTTTACCAGCACCATTGCACTGTTTCTTAAATGACTTCAGTATAGCTGATGTAGTACTTTTGTTTATTCAGACAGAATGTAGACACTCCATTTGGGACTAAAGTAGGAAAAATAATAATAAGAAAAAGCTACAATCTCTATCCAGCACATCATTTTCATACTCCATATTGGAACTTTGTATTAATTTATTAAAAATACATCAATTTAGGGGTTATTATTTAATAATTATTAATTATCCTGCTCTGTACCAGCACATCCATGACCACATGAGGGCAGTATCTGTTTCTTTAAGGTGAGAGGGTTTGGCCATTAAACAAATATAGTGAGGTTTTTGGAAGCTGAGAAAAAGATGTATAAGACAGCAAGCTTATTATAATTTACTTTAACATTCATGTCACTGTATCCCCCTGATTTAACTCATTTAAAAATGTCTATATATGAAAAATATTTGACATTTTATTAATGATAAAATAAATATTTAATATTCTAAAAATCAACAAATATGTTTACACTGTTGCAAGTTAAGGAAAATGAGAACAATAGTGGTTAATAATAAAATAATACCTGCATGTTTCCAAACGCCCCCGCGTTATCCAGCTCTGCACCCCCCCCCTCTCCCCCCTCTTCCCCCCCAGCGGAGAGGAAGAGCACAGACAAGTGAACAACAAGCCAGGGCAAGGAAGATAGGAAACTGCATAGGTGGGTGTTTTCTCCTTCTTCATAGTTATCGCTGTGCTCTGTCCCTGCGGTGGACAGTGTACATGATCAGCTATAAGTTGTTTTTGTTGTCTCAGGTTTCCTCACTTCTTATTCTGCGGGTCGACGTTTGGATCGTGTCGGCGCAGCAGCAGTGCCACTCGGCTATAGGCTAGGCCTGAAACCGCTGCCTCGCAAACACTTATGGACTATTAAAAACAAGCCGAACAGTCTCCAGAATCGGTAATGGCCCGTCTTTTTGATATGATATATTCGATATAAGTGGTCGGGAGTGGTTCTGGGTGAACGGGGGAGTGGGTTGAACTTGTTTGTAGTAAACGCAGTGTTAGCCAGCTAGCTACCATAGTACAAGCTAATTTGGCTAGCATCGGTGTATGCGATTCGTCGGCTTGATGAATTACTTATTTCATTAAAAGTCTGTGAATGTTTTACAAAACACATGCCTGCTGTTTAAAGCAAGATTGCTAGAATATAATTTATCAAGTAGCATGACGTTTATCAGTTTGTTAGACTAATGGGCTAGTTTGTACGTGACTTGAGGTGTGTGTAGTTTTGACATAACACTTTGAGTATTTTGGGGTTAAAACATATAAAGCAGTGATATTTTACCAGAGTGCTGTGAAACTTTTCCTTGCTGAAGGATATTGAGGGCAGGTGAGACTACACGGAAGTGGTCGTTTCCACCGCCGCCTCGCAGCCCGTAAGTTAGGAGTCAAAGTCCAACACGGTTTAATTATCAATTTCACATTTTGTATTGTACCTGCGACGCCCACTCCCTGCAGACACTGAAACTGCGTGGTGCTACTCAGGTCATTATTCTTGAATGCTGTGTGTCTTTTGGCAGATTGCATTTGACTTGTGTTACATATTAGTCTCCTAGTCTACTGTAAAAACCAAGCTTCATCTTCCACTAGTTGTGTTTTGATGTGGTCTACCAGGTAGATGAGAGAGGCGGGGGTGTTGGAGCTGCAGCGAGGGACAAAGCAAGAACCTGTTCTGTGAGTCTGGCTGTGTGGGGTGTGGTAAGGTGGCAGGCGTGTTTGTTGCTTCATTATTCAGTCCCTTATGTGAACGCTTGCAACTACAGATAACTTCTTACCTTACAGTTTTTCAATGCGAACGGATGCTGGATTGTTAGTAGACTGTTAGTAGAAACCAGACTTGTTCTGCGGTTTAGTGTATCCCTTTGGCAGTAAGCTTTCTATTTTCAATCTTTGTAGTGTATCCCATTGACAGTAAGCTTACAATCTGTTGTGGGCTTTTGAGGATTCTACATGCAAGCCTTATATTAAAATTTGTCACTTGAAAGAACAATTAAAACCGGTCTGGGTAATGTTTGATCGCCTGTCCAAAGTTAGTGTGAATTGTTAAATTGTATTGAGGCAGTCAGTTGATTGGTGAGTTTCAGTGCAGCAAGGCATGCCTGTCATATTATCCTATAAACCCTGTGGGCATGTCTGCCTTGACCTGCTGGAACAGAGATGGAAAAGATTGGGAGCAAGTTTAGACATGTAGTTTGTTCAGATATGCCCACTTTGTAAGATGTGAAAAATCAATAGACTGTTCTTTTGCTGCATAAAATTTGCTCCTAGCCATGTCTGCTGGGGTTAGGGTAAGTTTTGCTGCTCAGCCAGTTGTTTTAGCCAGGGCTATCATTTGTGAACCTCAGTAATAACGGGCTTTCAGAGCACACCACGGGCGTGTCCCTTCAACACACAGGAGCTGGGGTTTTCTTACATTTGCTCCTCCCAGTCAGTTTTCTCTCTCTCCCTCGCTCTGTTTATTTCTCTGCCTCTCTCTTTTTCCAACGGTTACACCAACAAGTCTGTTTTTATTTGAATGGTGATGGGCATGTCAACTCCCTCCCCATGCAGGGGAGGTCATGTGGGGAGGTTTGCACAAGTTGAAATCAAAGTGAACAGATTACTAGAGCTGTCTAAACTGTCGCACATTACCCTTCCTTAGCACAGGTGGTTCACTTCATGGAAATGTTGAATGTCATTTTGCACTTTTACAGCTCCCACTGCCGCAATTAAGTCACCTTCCTCGTTAAACAGTCCTCACAGTCAGTGTTATTGCATTCACAAGTGGGAAATCTTTACCAAATGCTGAATGTCTTTTTTTAGTTTGCCTTACCACTTTCTCTTATACCTGAAACATTAAATACATGTCCCATGTGTTTTGAGGAGCTTTATAAAATGCAACTGAACTGACTGAGTGGTTGTGCTTTCTGAAACATCTTATCATTGACTTAAGTTGAAGTGAAGATAAAGTCTTTGCCTCTATTTAGAACTTTTATTGAAGAAATGCAACTAGGTGAGAATACAACATCATCTGCTTACTTTCACATTAATGCTATGATGAAAAATGTGTCAGCGCTTAACTCTTTTTTGGGGGATATTTATCGGCTGTACTGTTCAAACAGTGTTATCTATTGAAGTGCTATCTTGTGATTGCTTACCATATCTCTTCATCATATATATTTGTACTTCTACTCACACCAATTGGTAGTTTTTTCCCCAATCTTTTTCTGCCCTGAGTTACAGTTGCCTGCTGTTTCCTTCCTCACCAAAGAACAGCTGGCCTTGCAGAGGTCCCTGAAAAGTCTGGGGTGTATGTTCATGTGAACGCTCTCTAACACACTGTCGGCCTCATGGGAACATTGGTGGGGGTTAGGTGGTTCATGGTTTCATGTCAGGATGGCAAAGGCGGTATTAGTTGGAAGTGGGCCAAGGCTAACACACACACACACACACACACACACACACACACACACACACACACACACACACACACACACACACACACACACACACACACACACACAGTGGTCAAATCTCTGTGTGACCATTCAAATGAGGCTGAGTCAGCAAAGCACTTGGCCAAGCCACAACAGCATTTTACCATAGCTTCACCCCAGCTTTATGTGTGAGTGTGAGAGTTTGTGTGTGTGACTGGCACACTATGCATGTCAGTCTGCCAAAGCCACCAGTGACTAAGTGGCTAAAATAGCCATGATAGCGTATGAGAATTATGGAATACACTACAGAGACAATTGTCAGTGTAATCTGGGTGACAGACTAAAGAATTGAGTGTGAGTTTGTGCAACATAAAGTTTTCAGTAACTTGCCAACACTGATGGTGTCTGTGTGTCTACAGAAGCACTATGAGGCTCAGTAAGCTAAGTGGCTTAACACTGTAAATCCAGGGCTAGCCCATTAGCAGATACAATTTAGCGTTGCTGCTAATGGCCTTACAACAGATTAACAACTAATGCCTGGGCTTTAAGTGCCCAAAGCCATTTTAAAACTCTCACAAGCAATTGCTCGCTGCCACAAAAATGTTAGTGGTGAGACTTGTACAGCTAGAGAGTTTTGTGTGGGTCTGTCTGTTACACTGGGGGACTGCCCTCCCCTATGCGTTTAAAAAGGCGTTGACGTTTTGACAGAGCTACAAAGAAGAAGCCTACAAGCAGTGGTATATTGACTTCTCTGATGTATCGTGTCAGTTCTGCATCGCTAAGTTAAAAACTTGGTCCAATGTATAGCGTGACAGCTGCTATAGGCACCCTTCTAGAGACACATTTTTTTTGCAGCTTGCTGCTGCATATAGATACCGGCTTTCTGCTTTATTTTTGTGATCCAAGCAAAGATGTGTCACTGTTGAATGACGCCAAGGTTTCAGTTTTTATTTTAATGCACACTTGGCTTAGGTTACATATACCCACTTGAAATCACTCCTTAACCGTCTTTAAATATGTAAGCACATTAACTGTGGTTGAATGTCATGATTGGGCCCGCCCCCCAACGGCCCCCCCTGAAGGTCAAGTAAAAAAACAAAAAGATTATTATTATTATTTTTATTTTATTATTATAAGATTTTTTGGGGGCTTTTTGCGCCTTTATTGTAGAGATAGGATAATGGATAGAGTCGGAAATCAGGGAAAGAATTCATTTAAGGATACCTTTCCAATAGAAAAGGACAGCTGTCATTAAAAGTAACGCATGAACACCAGGATTCCTTCATGTCGTCGTCTCGCCATGTCGGCTTGTCCCCACCCCCCCAACGCTGTAAACCTAGGGGAAACACTGCGCTCTCCATATGCAGGGTTGAAGTGATTAACTGGAACAATAAATGTTGGGATGAGTGATGGATGAGAGCAGCACAATGAAGCAGTGAAGGGCTCCCTTATTAGGTCAGCTTCCAACTGCTGACAGGATATGACACGCAAAATCTCTCAGTGGAATGTATGACAATAGTGGTGCGCGTGTTTTTGTGCAGTTCAAGTGAACTTAGTCCACAAATGTATGTTTTTCTTTCCCCACATAGACGGAGAGAATCAAGGCAGCATTAACTTCACCAAAACTTGCCACAGTTGTTTGAGTATTCAAGGATATAACTAAAGGTCACACACACATACACACTTTCCTCTGACCCTCATAAACAACCATTTACCCTGACACAGATGTGTGCAAACACTCAGGCTGGTGAAAGGGCACACTCAGTCTCAATACAGGATCTTTTGTTCACTCAGACAGTCCAGTGTCCACGGATAGGGAGCAGATTTGAACTACATGAGTCAGTGAACTTTGAAGAAAATATTTTTTACCCTGCTTTGAAGATGAGCCACACTCGTGTCATCCCGTTATTAGACAGACAGGGGTGAAGTAATCTTCATTCCTCTCTCACTAGCTTCCTTGCTGAGGAAGTTGGTGAATAGGGCTTTGCTTTGTTTGTTTTGGGCACATGCTATGTGTTGTTATGTCTGTTGTTGGTTATGTATACGTTTACGTTATGTGAAAAAAAAAAACTTTCTTCTTCCTTCTCTGTTTCTTAGTGGCATGATTCCCTGAGAAACCCTTTCACTATTGCTCCTCAGTGCATCGTTGGTGTTTTTGATGCAATTAATTAATGATACTGTGCCCCATTGAAAGGTCTGGTGTCAGGCGGTCAAATGACTGGAAAAGTCATTAAACTCAACCTGTTGGAGGAAAGAAGTGCAGAAAGAGGATATGAAAGGTCTCTCAATCTGTGAAAAATACCTAACCTCCTGAAAAGTGTTTTTTATCATATGAGCTCACTAGAGTTTGATTGAAAAGAAGCGGCAAGACTATATCAGAGTTATAAAAGGCTGCTCAAACAGGTGAAAAAAAGGGTCACATTGCAGGAAATGAAATGTTGGGTGCTACAACATTTAACTGATGATGCCAACGACGGCTATGTAAATATTTAATGACACTGACCAACAGGTTGTTGCTGAAGATGAAGAAATATTTTAAATAAAGTTAAGTTGTAGGCACAGTGTAGGTGTATTTAAACATTGGATACATTTTCTACTTGTTAGATGTGTGAGTGGGATCCGTATTTTGTCTGCCTTTTTGTCTTTGCCAATTACATCCCTGATTAATGGCTGATCACATCACAGTATTGAGCAGAATTGTTATTGGAAGGTAGTTTTTGAAAAGGGGTCAACACAGCTGAGCATACCGCCTTCATTTGATTACTGGAGCTATGGTGATTTATCGGCACAGTAGAGGGGCTTGTCACCATAAAATACAATGCATATTCCTGCTGTTAGGAAAGCCAGTTGTTAAGTTTTACTGCATGCACACATGTTAGAGGGAGCTCTTTGTCTAATAGTGTCATATGGGAAGAAGATTAGATTAGAATAGTATTTTATACCAAAATATATCTTTGAAAACTTAGTGAGTTCTGTAGATCCCTGCTTGACTTGTACTTACTCTCTAATGTTGTTCACTTTGGACAAAAGCATTGCTAATGGATTGTACAATTGTAGACTTAAGTGAAGGGAAGAAGTGGGCCCACAATCTCGTTCCCTGCCCTGGAGAGCACAGCCTCTCAATTTACAACACCTTTCTATGTTTAGTGATACTGAATGGTGTCATGCTGTGTCTTGATAAATCCTCTCACTTTCTTTGCATCCTCTGCGTAAGGACCTGCTAACAAGCTCAACATGCAGCAGCTGAAACCTGCTGTAATCATCACCAGTCACGTATCACACTTTCTATTTTTAACCCCGCATAGCAGAAGGTAAAGAAACGCAGTAGAAAAGTGCACTCTGGCTCTGCTGATGCTGGTCCCACCTTGAAATCTAACGGAATATTCAGTCTGAGTTGTGAGCTCTTTCTTTGTGCCTGCTCTTCTTCTTCACTGTTTCTCTACTTGCGTAAGTTCTGTCTGTTTGCCTTTTCTTTGTACCTGCTTCTTTATCTTCACAGTTCTCTCGCTTCCCTTCTTGTGCCAGCCCTTGCTGCTTTTTAAACTCCAAATCAACCCCATTAGCACTTCACTGTGTGCATTCATAGATGACACTGTACTAGATAGGCTTCTGACTTTATATCTGTGTGGTGGGTGATTCAGCATGTCTGTGTGTCTTTTCTTTAAACAAATCTGGGTGATGGTTGAATCTCTCCTCTCTGGTGTTGATCCTGTCCTGTCCTGTGCTCTGCTCTCAGCGTGTGAATGGAGCAATGTGCAAGTACGGCCTCCCTGCTGGCCTCGGTGCGGGAGCAGGAGAGGCAGTTTGAGATGCTGAGCCGAGCTCTGGAGGAGGAGCGGAGGTCGTGTGCCGGCACCCTGCCCCGCCCCCTCCCCAACATGCAGGTAACACAGAATGACCCCAGCCCACTCCTTCTAGACTTCCATACACATTTTTCATCATGAAATCCCTTGGATTCTCCCTGGATCTGAAGGAGTTTGTCTACTGTCATCTCCATGGTCACCCCATCCCATACATGTGGACATGCATGTTGGCTGCAAAACTAAACCACACTGGGGGTTCCTCCTCGGTTAGTTTTTAGTGAGGTTGGGCTTTTGAAGGTTGCTTGACTTTGCATTGAATTTTGTGATTTGAAAGTTAAGTCAAATCAAGAAACTGAATCAGGCATTACCAATAGAATAATCTTGATGTTGACACCTTGAGTGCACGACAGTTTTAACTACATTTTAAAACATATCTAATGAAACTGCCCAGGATTCCTTAATTACCTGGATACTCTTCAAACTGGCAGAATAATATAAATGTTGATCCATATAAAAACAAAGTGTTGTAATATATTATTTGCCATATCTCTAAACTGAAGCACCTTCCAGTAAAGCCTTCCTTATGGGGTAGTCAAACTCCCTGTTGCTTCCCACAGCTTTCACCACATTTTTTCCAAGTAACCGTCATTGTCTCATTTAAAGTCCTCTGATCATCGTCTTCATTTCACTCCACCAATCAAGCCTCATAACCCAGTGTCACCCATCATGTTTGTCTTGACTTGCCCCTCGGAGTTTGCATGCAGGGTGATGTCTTGCTTGACATTTTGTTTTGTTGACCTTTTCCTTGAAAGTTGTCAAGAGTCCAGAACACCAGCAATTACTTACAATTCACTTTTCTTATGATGTTTTTTTTCTGGTATTAAGACATTTTTTCAGCTCTTTTTTTCAGCGGATCAGATCAAAGGCTGTTTCATGTGCTTTGGTTTCTTGGTCAGAAATCTTTGATGCTGACTCTTGTTTCAAAGCTGACGTGTGTCTGCTGATTGCTTAGACGCCCTCTTTATCATTATTGAGTCAGTAGCCTGGTCCAGAGACTGAAGAGTGAAGTATTGTCTACCTCACACACCGACTGGCAGTCACGCACACCCATTATTTATTCACTTCCTTATTGACGCTCTTGGTCAATGCGTGAATAAACCAGCATACACACTAACATTTACTTGTGGCCCTCAGGCAACCTTTGAACAACTCTTTCATAAACAAGTAAGCTCTCCTGCTTGCTTACTTTCACTTTTTCTCTTGCATGTAGACACACACTACTCAGGACATGTCCCAGTCCCAGGTAAGTGTAGTGGCTGATAACCAGCAGAAATATAGGTGGAGCGTGTGTTACAGTGAGAGTAAGGCTGGCTCTTATCTGTGTGTGTTTACATAGCCCAAAGGCTTCAGCATGCCTCTGCCACTCTTCCAGGCAGCACAACACAACCTCAGTTCTTACTGACAGGTTCCCACACGCTTGCATCTCCCCGGCACTTTCTACTATTCTCTCTAGCTGAGTCCTTATCCGAACTTAAGAGTGTGTTCTTTTGCTTTGTCTGTGTCTTGTGTATTTGCCCTTGGCTGAGTGGCATTTTAAAAGCTAGTCACTGCACTTCTCTCCGGTGTTATTTCCAGCTTCAGAAAGATATTGCTGTCAGCTCAAGACAGCTCTATACTGTCTCTTATTCAATGTTGAGTATTTTCCCCCTCATGGCTGTGCCCCTTTACTTACATGGCAGTGTAGATAAAACTGCAGATTGCGGTAGAGATACATTTAGCTCCCCCTGTGGCTGGAATGGAAATCGCGCCACACCCATCAGCACTCCTGGGCAGACGATGCTGGTGGTGTTGACTCTTTGTCTGTCTTCTCATTCCGCACTTATTCATTTCATTATCGACTAATTACTTAATCCTTTCATGTTATTATCAAATTCAGTCATGTGTTTGTTGAATGAGTGTGTCCCAGTTACCTCATTGTTTGTGTTTTAGAAGTGAATAGTGCATGAATGCTCTCTGTGTTTGTGCTAATCTACAGTATATGATGGTAGTCCTTTTTCTTTAAATATTGAAAAAAATCACTTGATTTAAAAAGAGCTTGCTTATATTGGTTATGGTGTGGCTTTAATAACACTGAAAAAAGCAGTAGTCTGTCTATTTAAAGCTAGATGTTTTTAGGATTGAAAAAGATTTTTAGTAAGGGCTGCTCCTTTTTAATTTCAGCTGGTAATGTTTTACTCTTTTACACTGGATGGCTGTAAAAGTTCAGCTGCCCTAAGGACAAAGTTTATATGGAAATGCAGATTCATCTTTTTAATTCAAGTGTAAAAAAAGATACTCGTATATTCAATGTGTATTGGATCCCCTCATATGTGTCCCTTCCTCCCCGCAGAACGGCCGCATTCCTTGTGATGCAGACATAGAGAGGCTGACACTGAACGAGGGTTTCATCAACGGGTCGCATCTTGTAAGCATCTTTACAGCCCACTTAGTGTCCACTGTTTAGTTCTTGATAACAGAAAGTAGTGCAAGATCTTAAGTTGTTAATATTCTGAAATGTGTGTGTGAATATATGTGCATTTGCAGTTCAGTATGGAGCCTGGTCAGGTGATGCAGGAGACATACACTGTGGAGGAAGACCCCCAGGAGTTGCCCCCTGTTGTCTCTGTGGAGACCAGTGAAGATGGAACAACAAGGCGTACAGAAACGACGGTGAGTTGATTCAAAACAGAAATGAATCTGAGGTATTTGCTTTGAATTCCCTTGATTGGTTGGAAGTGAGGCAAGACCCCCCCCCGTTTAAAGTGGTGTGAATGTTCTATCTCTTCTTTTGTCAAAGGTTAAGAAGGTTGTAAAGACTACCCACACTCGCACAGTCATCCCCTCTGTGTCAGACACCCTTTCCCTGGATGGTGGTGGTTCAGTGACAGGGATGGGGGGCTACACTACGCCCATGGATCGGGTCTACAGGCAGGCCCCAGGAGGTGGTGTGCCAATGGAGTACCCCACCCATACAGTGCCACGCAACTACATCTACGGACCTCCAGCCGGCTATGACGACTACCGTACGGGACCCCCATCTGAGGCCTACACAAGCCTTAGTAGAGGAGCTCGCATGGATGATCGCTACAGGTATCAGTCTGAGGAAATGTATTATCAGACAGAAACTTTTGGCCAAAGATTTTGCTCTGAAGCTGCTTGTCCCTCTGTTCTCCAGACCTGTCCATCCAGATGGTTACAGAACTCTAGATCCAAACTACAGAGCCCTCAGCAGGAACCAGCTGGATCCCTATGCTGCGCAGCCACAGGTATATTCACCAACTGCTGGATCACCAAGATTACTGAAGATACCCTTTTCCCAGGATATTAACTTTGACTCCTGACACTTTAAGATTCACTTGCTTATTTCTGTGTTTTGCCTTCATGCTATTAAAAAAAATGGAATAGGATTTCAATGGTCCATGGACACAGTCCATAAGCTTGCAGATACTCGTAGCAATTGAAATGTGGCTTCAATTCTTCTGGATCATGCTCCCTGTCCTGTGTAGGTTGGGCGTATGGGAAGTGCATTGGAGCTGTCCTCCATCCAAAGGTTTGTACCAGAGCCGTATGGACTGGAGGATGATCAGCGCAGCATGGGTTATGATGAACCCGACTATGGTATGGGACCCTCAATGCACTACAGCACCATGCCACATAACCACCAGGCATTTAACCATCGACCCCCACGCAGGACAGGGTAACTACAGCTTTTTCGTTGTGACCCATAACAAGTGAAATGTAAAAGTTGGTACATTTTTAATGTGGTTTTCAAATCAACATGTTGATGGTTGTATGTCCTCTTCTTTTTCCCCAGGAGTTATGAGGGCACCTTGGATGGTGACATGAGTGGTCCAGGGGACATGTACTATTGGGGAGGAGGAGCACCCCTGGCTCAGGATGAGAGAGGCAGCATGGCTTCATTGGACAGCACTCTAAGGAAAGGGCCTGGCCCTGGTGGCTGGCGTCAGCCAGAGCTGCCGGAAGTCATTGCCATGCTTAACTACAGACTGGACCCCGTCAGAAGCAATGCAGCTGCATACTTGCAGCATCTCACCTATAAGAATGATAAAGTAAGTGCTGCACCTCTGCACGTGTTTAATATTTTCACAAACCTTAAATTGACATGACCTTAAATAAAGGCTTTCACTTGATTTACGCAAATGTACTTCTACGTCTACATCCTTAAAGACTGTCTGCCCATTTCTCAGTGTGTTTAGTTGTCAACATAGCAACATCTTAGTTTCTAATATGAAATAATGATTTTTCTTAAGTTAGTTTTCATAAGAAATTGTACCACCAAACAGTTTTTTACTGGTTCTTGGTGGCAGCTGAAGTAGCTCTTATGGTGGGACTTCCAGGTGATGATTTCCACACTGAAGATTTTTTTTCCTTTTCACTGATGGTCTTTAATTAAGCTCCAAGCTTTTATTTTTCCTCCTTTTTTTCTTGGCTTTTTATAAACATATAACTGAACTTAACTTGAATCTCTTAATTTGAGGTGTCCTTTTTCTCTCCAGGTGAAGTCTGATGTGCGTCGTCTGAAAGGCATCCCAGCACTGGTCTCTATGCTTGACAACCCAAAGAAAGAGGTTAGTTTCATGTTGTCCTCCGTGGTTTTCTGTTCATTTTTTATTCTTTAGAAGTGTGTTTTGATTGAGCTTGAGGGGGTAGAAGAGGGGCTTAAGGGATGTAGTGTATTTCTTACATAATGTTGCCACAGTTCATTTGGCTGAGAAAAGGTGAACTTGACACTCGCTGCTAATACCAATTGAAAGGGAAATAGAAATAAGCATTACGTACTTGCCATCTTTGCAAATCCTGTAGGTCAACATTTGCGCTAAATATGGTTTCAGCCAAAACATTCTTCAGTTTGACTATGATTCCCTTTCATTTAGCATACCAGTAGCAGAGTTTTGTCTACACTTGTATGAGTGTTACCAGACAAACCACATCATGCATTCCACCCTCAAGGCAGAGCAGCAACTTAATTTCACATTTCATGCTCTAAGGCCAATGATAGGTCAGAAGCCCTGCTGGCTGGAGAAATGGGTCAAACAGCATCTGCATCCTCTAAGTGTTTTCAAGTGGTTACAAAAACACAACACACTTTGTCCCTTCTGTGTATTAGCCTTTTAGGCAACATACCAAACACTCACAAGAAGACAAAGGATTCTTTTTAGCATGCAACCAAAAATACAACTGTATGATGAATGCAGTGCTATCTTTGATCAATACTTTATCAAGATTAATAGCTTACTGTTGTGTCTCTGTTATAGGTTCATTATGCAGCCTGTGGAGCACTAAAGAACATCTCATATGGCAAAGATGCCGACAACAAGATTGCCATTAAGAACTGTGATGGAGTGCCAGCTCTGACCAGGCTGCTGAGGAAGACCCACGACCAGGACCTGACAGACACCATCACAGGTCAGATTGAAGCACTCTGTGTAGACATGACTTGAACTAACAACAATATTAGTGGTCTGACTGGTTTGTTGATGTTGTGGCTAAATGTTATTGCTTTAGGTAAATAATAGAGTTGAAGTTCGCTTCATGATTATGAATATATGAATTTTCCTTGTTACACATTTTCCAGGAACACTGTGGAATCTATCGTCCCATGACGCTGTGAAAATGGAGATCGTGGACCACGCTCTGCATGCCCTATCAGACGAAGTTATGGTGCTTCACTCAGGCTGGGAGCAAGGGAGGAACGGAACAGGAGGAGGGGAGGAGAACTGCAAGCCCAGACATCTTGAGTGGGAGACAGCCCTCACCAACACAGCAGGCTGCTTGAGGTATGGAAAATGAGACCGTTTAACTTTTACTGATGATACAGAAAGAGAGGAAGGCAGATTGAGGGAGGGTTGTTGAAGACTCGAGAGGAAAACGGAAACATGCCAGCTCAACAGACTGATGGAGAAGTGGGATGTTGATCACACTTCTTTTTTGGGGGTGTTATCTGTCAGTCACTGCAGTAAAGTTAACTTTTTTAAGACACTCCTTATAAGGAAATAATCCAATTAGCACGCAGGTCCATCACATTCAAAAGTTTTGTTTTCTTTGTGTGCCACAAGCTCATAGACCGATTCTGACTTATATACCAGGATATCTTGTTTTATCTATTTGATTAGGACTTTAGGAAGAGGACTTTAGGGTTAAATTAGCTGTTGAAGAGATATGCAGCTTAACAATAAACTATGAAGGATCAGGCAAGGGTGAGAAGGGAATTTCAGGGTTCGTAGGGAGAGGGTGCACAGAGGACACTGGGGCATTGACCTACACAGTGTAAACAGTATGTTCCAGCCTACCAGTTCTCTATGCATTCCCTTTGACCACATGATACTGCAGTGTTCATTTGAAGGTCTCCAGAAACGTGTGAATACATTTGTACTCTTGAAGAAACTTAAAAGTTTGGTTGTTGTTGTAATGGACTGAACAGCTTCATCCTAGTACAATATGCCCATCCACAGTTGTCAGTCACATTTTGTAAACTTTGTGCAACATTTATGTCTTGTCTGGGCCACGCCTAACACATTAACATTTTTGTTTCATATACAAATCTGGTTATCTTGTTTTAAATGGTAGTGTAGACTTTTTATAAACAAATATTCCAGTATTTATCTGTCTGGATTGTTTGAAGTGTTAACAATCTATTATGTATGATATTATAATAGTCTGAGTCTCAGTAGAACTTAACATGAAATCTCAGAACATTTTGAAAAGCAGTACAGGTGAAGGCAGCAGGTACATTTACATCTTAAAAATGTAAACTAATCTAAACGACCTCCATGATCAACTCCAATTTGAAAAGTTGTGTTACTTATTCATTTAAGGGAGACGAATCACTGTAAGACAGTGGAGCCAGTAGGGGGAAACCTGCACTGTGCGTGTGTGTGTAAATGGAGCCCAGGCTGTGTTTACATATTATGCTTCCTCCGCACTACACTGTAAAGGCTTCTGATGCGAGCAAGGGAGTCTCACAAAGTTTCAATATTTCCTGATGCTAAGCTAATCTTTTTATTTTGAGTTATAGACATCTGTCATGTTCTGCATTCAAGATTTAATTCAAGTCAGGTTTTTACATTTTGAATGTTTGGTGACTGCTGCATATAAATAAACTCCCAGAGCTATGCATTGAAGTGGAACCCGTGCCCCCTGCTGTGTAGGGGAATGTGTCCTGCCATTGTGAGAGAGGGTGTGTCTGTCACTTTGACAAACAGGTCAGCACAAAAGAACAAGGCTGACTATCATTCCACAGAGTTTTCTCTCTATTTTTTTCTATTTTTTAAAAGCTTTCTATATCAAAAGATGAAGAACTTAGTGGGTTTCAGTTTCCATCCATCAAGTCCTGTTAGAGCTCTAACAAGAACTGAGTCTGAAAGCAGTTGGAGAAATAGGTCCAGAGCTGTAACTTGATCTTACTGAACTGCACTCTCTTTGTAAAGCACTAGATTTACCAGGACTTTCATTCAAACATCTCTTGGGGGTGTGTTAAAGCATTGTGGGCAGGAATTCTTTTCTACTCACTTAAATTGCCTTTTCCCATTCCCCTTGAGCATCCTAACTGCCTCATTAATGCTTCTGACCGTTAACAATGCTAATCCTTGTTTTGTTTTACATTCTTTTTTTCTCATAGAAATGTGAGTTCAGAGCGAAGTGAGGCAAGAAGAAAGCTAAGGGAGTGCACAGGATTGGTTGATTCGCTCATGTACATCGTCCAATCCCAGATTGACTGTAAAGATGTCGACAATAAGGTATGTGGACTTTTGAATTATTTGACCAATATAACTATTTTAGACCTAGTGGTTTTAAGGTGCTTGATAGTAGTTATGCATATGTGACCTATGTGACAGCTGACTTTACGTTTGAAAATGAAACATTTCTGTGTGATGTGACAGCGATGTAGGTTTACCAAACTTCTCGAGCATGCGTCTCATCTTGATGCTAAAGGCTTAGGTCTACATTAGTTGCTACAAGAATTGCCCCCCCAACTCGGCAACCAAACCATTTGGTAATGGAGTTGCATTGCTGGCAATGTGGCCAATAGGCTTTTACAATGAAGAGCAATACTTGCAATAAAAACAAGACTTGTCGTAAGAGTGCAGTACTAAATCTGCTGAATACAGGTCTAAGGGGTAATGTAAATAACGTGGTGGTGTATGATGCACTCTGGCTGATTTGAAATAATTGATTTTCTAATGTTTTTCCTTGCATCCCTTCACTCCATCACCCTGCCTTTGATCTGTCTTCTCCTCAGTTGATAGAGAACAGCGTGTGTCTGCTGAGGAACTTGTCCTATCAGGTGCATAGAGAAATCCCAGGCTGTGAGCGCTACCAGGAATCTGTGCCAATCAACCAGGGCCCCGCCCCCTCCAGTCAAAAGGGAGGCTGCTTCAGCTCCCGCAAGGGCAAAGGTCAGTGTCACTGAGAAAGTCGTACTGTACTTGTTCAGTCTGTAGGAGTATTTGCGATGATGTCATTGTTGACAGCAGTGATACTAACACACACACACACACACACACACACACACACACACACACACACACACACACACTTGCACAAACAAAACCACTGGCTCGCACAGGAATGTGAACAATTTCCCCGACCAGTGGAAGCTCATCCTCTCTCCTGCTGATTTCTGTTTGTGTTTCACTGAGAGTATTGATTTGTTTTTGTCTCATCTCATCCAGTGGCTTTGTCTGTTCATATCAAATCTTTTTGCTGTGACGGTGAATATCTAAGTCAGACATTGTTGTTACATCTCAGCTATTTTTATTTTTTCCTGAAAACTTTTAATTTACGTAAAGGTAAGGGAGGGATAATACAATTAATAAATATACAACTTGACTTTCTATTAATGATGATAACTTAAAAGATAAGCTCCAAAAAAAAGAGCAGAATATATTGCTGTGAAAATAATCAGAACCACTGCGTGATTTCTGCTTTTTGACACATTCTGTATAATCAGGCAAACATCTCTGGTTGGAAATAAATACATGGTGCCAGAAATGTTTCATACACTATACAAAACAGACTAAACTACAAAGACAGTGCATGAAAGAGAAGATTCAAGACGAGGCTGTGACACACAATGTCTAATTTAACCTGCTATCAACCACTGCTTACTGGTTCAGTAAATACTTCCCAGTGAATTTAAAATGTTGTGTATTTGCACACAGATGCATTTAATTCAATTACCGCACAGATTAGTATGACGTTACAATGTTTACAATGGTCATATTAGCTGCTGTGTGCTTTCATCTTCTGTTTATTAAGCCTACATACTTGGCATGTCCCATTGCTGGTTTATGTGTGGGGTTAGCAGTGCTGTTGGGATGAAGGTGTTAACTGGGTGGCTCAATGATGGCTGCTTTCCTCTTACTTACTGTAAATGCTCTCTCTTCCTCCCTTGCTGTTTTTATCCCTTTTTTACCCCTTCCTTCTTTCCTCTCTTCTTCTCTCCCTTCTTTTTGAGCTGGGCTCCAGATGAGTGGTTTTCCAAAGGTAAGTTCTTATCTCTGTGAGACTATGCTTCTGCTGCCTGTTGTCATGGTAATAGTAATAGAGTAGCTGACTTATAATGCTGATGTGACCGTCTTAGTACTAACATGCATGCCCTCTGTTCACCTCCAAATGCCCAAATGCATCTTTTTTTTTGTCATAGCATATGTCTAACCACACCAGAACAAATGTACTAACATTGGAACAAATTCTGTAAAATCAGACTCAGTCATATTTAGTTTCTGTCTCTAAATGTGAATGTTTGATTTTAGGGAGGAAAGATGAGGATGCAGCTGCAGACATAATTGACATTCCAAAGAGGACCACACCTGCTAAAGGTAACTTAAGGCTCAGCTGACACTCTTTATTGAAAAGTAAAACAGAACAATATACAATTCTTGATAACCTTAATGCCCTTCTAAAAATAATTGTCTACTCCTTTTATTCCTTTCCCCCCTGCTCTCCCCCTATCTGCTCCTTCTGCATACTTCTCATTATTTTATGTCTTATATCCTCACTTGCTCCTCCACATTTACCCTCCCCCTCCTCCTTTGCTATCCCATACCTTTCTTTCGCTCCTGTAGGCTATGAGCTTTTGTTCCAGCCTGAGGTGGTCCGGATCTACACCTCTTTGCTAAAGGAGTCGAAAAACCCCACTGTGCTGGAAGCCTCGGCTGGAGCCGTGCAGAACCTGTGTGCTGGACGCTGGACTGTAAGAGCTGCCATCCATCAGTATACTCTGCAATATCTTTATGCAACTTATATTGTTTAAAGTAGCAATAGTTGAGTAATCTATTAATGTCAGATGTTTAAAATCATATTTTCAATACTCTATTTTACATTTTATTGAATTCATGTTACCAGGTCTGCTAAGAAAAACACAGAACAGCTCTATTATGAAAGTTCAACCTGACAGCTGCCTAAGCACTGCCTGTCGGTAGTGGAACTGAAAGATCTTTGTTTCTGTGTGCATGTTATCAGTTTAGAGCCTCCACCCAGCCTACGTGAGCAGTTTAAAATCTAGACAAGTTCACCTTGTTTACCACAAGTCATTTGTGGTGCTCAGGCAAATACACTGCAGTGATGATCCCTTGATAGTAACATTGTCATGATTTGGCATTTGCCCTCCAGCAAATAGGTTGGGCTTAAAACCATAATTGTGTTTTGTCAAAGGTAGAGGAGGAAGTCCCCTGATTAATGAGCTTAAAATTTCATCTTTTTTAGTATGGGCGATACATCCGTGCCCTGCTGCGCCAGGAAAAAGGTTTACCCATGATGACTGAGCTGCTGGCTCATGGCAATGACCGAGTAGTCCGCGCCATGTCTGGAGCCCTCCGCAACCTGGCCATTGATGCACGCAACAGAGATCTACTAAGTGAGACTCGGAGCTCTGTGTGACAGATTTACTTAAATTGTCCTGCAGCCCCATGAGATCATCTTTTTTTATCAATATTAATATACTTTTTCTTTTTTTTGAACACTTCTCCTTCTGCTTGTGTGTGGTCAGGTAAACATGCGTTGCCTCACCTGGTGGCAAACCTGCCCGGTGGAGGTCAGAGTCAGCCAGTGCGAGCGCTGTCAGAGGAGACGGTGGTTTCAGTATTGAGCACGCTCCATGAGGTGATGGGCTCCAGCCTGGAAGCAGCTAAGTGGCTCAGGGCCTCACAGGGCATCGAAAGACTTGTGCTCATTAACAAAGACGGGTGAGAGATTTTGAGATGATCTTGTGTTCATTTTGACTTTCCTTTGTAAGTGTTGACTTCTTTAAAATATCTGTTCTTGTCCTTCCCTGTGTACCTGTGTCATCAGACATCGCTCTGAGCGGGAGGTGCGTGGGGCTGGCCTGGTGCTGCAGACAGTGTGGGGCTATAAGGAGCTGCGACGCACTTTGGAAAAAGACGGCTGGAAGAAGACAGACTTCATGGTCAACCTAAACCCTCCAAGCAACAACACCCGGGCCAACGGAGGATATGAGGACAGTACTCTGCCACTCATAGACAAAGGTGATGATGCTTGGGCGTATGTAAACTTGTGCACTGACTTTCTCTGAAAGGCCAAAGATCGAGAAGATTGCAGAGCCTAAGCAAGTCTTCGGTGTCTGCTTTTCATTTTAGTGGGCATACATGTCCAGTTCTGAGAAGCTCTGAAATTATCGAGTGTGCCTGGCTAAAGCTTTTCATGTAGGACTTAGGAAAGCTCTACCTTCAGTGTTTTCAAGCAACACAAGTTGTGTATTTGACTTAAGCTCCACAGAGCTTACAGACTTAACTGTGGCAGCGTTTCAGAGAATCAGCACTTCTTACTGATTCTCTGTGTGTTATGGTAAGTTGTGTGGACTTTGTAGAATCATGTAGGGGCTGCAGTTAATCCTCTTATGTTTGTCTCAATCTGCTTGGCACTTAAGACGTTTAAGAGTCGTCAACACCCACGTTCATGTTATGATTTCCTCAATGTTGGCACTGATTTTAAAGTTTTCAAACTACTCCAATTAGGAAGCAAAGAAAGATACAATATGTAGTTACAAACACTTACTGGCTCGTGTCTCACACTTGAAACACTTACAGAATACTCAAACACCTACACGCTGTTCTATCTTTGGTAGGAGATGGTGTGTCTGTTAAAACTGCCTCTGTGAGGAAACAGTAACATCAAGCAGTACATATTGTTGCACATTATTTTGTGTCCTTGATACACAGGTGGAAAAGGCGACCGTGAAATGATTCCAATGAATGACATGGGACCAGGCAAGTGTGACCATAGCAAAGTCAAACATAACAGACCAATTAAACGATAGTCTGTCATTACCTTTTTCTTTTTGTAAGAATGTTCCTGAAACTCTGGTACCTGTGGTTTAACCCCCCCCCCCCCACCCTCTACAGATGCCTACTCCACACTGGACCAGAGAGGGAGAAGGAACACTCTAGATAACACACTAGAACCTGCTGACAAAGATGCAGTACAGGTAAAGCCCAATGCTCACCACATCTGTCCTACACACATGAACCAGCATGACTGAACTTCTGTACAAGTAACGCAAACTCTATTACATACTCGCAGCATCCCTCTTCTTACCCGAGTACAACTTCAGGTATTTACAGCAGACAATTTGAAGACATGATTGTTATTTTCAGGTTCTTTCCGGACAGCGTTCCTGCAGCAGACGTTACTTTCTGTTAGCGCTGGGCAAGGCTTCCAGTTTGAAGTAACCTGATACCCTGAGACCACAGGGTTCATTAGTTAAACTTAATATATTTGTATTGCCTATTAATTAACCTATTAATTTCAAATTTTTAAGCCTGCATTCTTTAGGGCCACGATGATTTAAAATCTGAATACCTTGAACCACATAAGAGCTTCAACATGGTATGGAACAACTTTGCCTAGTGTGAGTGCGCCCTTAATGTCTGGGCTCAAGAGTGCAAACTGAAACTGCAGACTTGTTGGTTGTTGCAGGATTTAAAATCTACTGCTTTCTGAGGTTGTGAGATATAAACATAAAGTTAAAATTGTTTAATTTAAAGAGATAGTTTCTCTGCCCGGTACTGCTTTCTTTATCCTATCATCTCTCTGCACCAGCTTCTTTGTAAAGTACCTCCGTCAGCCCTGAGTCTGTCCTGACAAAGTTGAATAATCACCCATCTGAAAAGATGGAAACTGGAGGAAAAAAATCCAACTTGTTAACCATGTGATGATACAGGGACTGACATTCTCACTTCCCTTCAAAATGCTGAACTGCTGCCGTGTGAACAGACATGCTTTCACACACGCCCACAGGCAGCATGTTGGTGCATGTCTTGTTAAAGCACTACTGGTGATGTGTGTCTTTCACATCATTTCTCACAGGTGTTCTTTTTTTTTTTCCCTCAAACATGACCTAACATTTAACCAACCCCTATAACACATTCTCTCCTCTAACTTTGATTTGACTAATCGGTTCTCTCTCTCGTTGTTCCCTCTTCCTCTTTTCCTTCTACCTTCTCTTTGGATTTAAACTTTTAACACTCTTCATCAACCCTTTCTCTTGTCCTCTGGTCTCTGTCTCTTTATCTACACACTCCACTCTTTCTTGTTGTCTCTCTCTTTCCCTCTCAGGGAGGGATGTATGGGGAGAGGCAGGCCTCTTTGCCTCTAATGGATTCTTACGATGGTTAGCTACACCACTGTCACACTGCATGTCAGCGCATGGTATGTGTGTCCCACGGGCTGCTCTCCACTCACTGCATGGCCTAAAATGTCAATTGTGTATAAAGAACTAAGACTTTGTGTGTTCCATATTGCCAGTGTTGTTAATTAGCATCCATTATAATTAATTTTTGCTCCTCCTGCTGGTGAGAAGTGTCACTTATTTATGTTCTCCTTAGATGTGATTTTTTTTTTGTCTCTGCACAGTTTGTGTCAAACAAGTGTCAACTTTGTTTCCAGCTGCCTCTACTTTGAATTGTATTTTGTATTCAGTTATTTTAAAGTGTCTGCTGTGAATCTGAATTTTAAATGTGCAATTATTCCCACCCAGGCATGAAGTCTGCATATCAGCTGCTCCGCATGATCAACTCCCCACACTTCTTCTCTTGCAGAAAAACTGATTGTGTGCATCACAAGACGACAGCCTCCTCCCACCTACTGCCCTTGCTGAACTGACAATGAGGGACCACTACACTAAAGATGGGGCTACACACCATCCTTAACACTCAGCTGTTCTGTCCCTCTTTATTCTTTTGTAGCCTCTCTCTCTCTCTCTCTCTCTCTGCTTCTCTGACATTCCTTCATTTTAAACTGATGTAGATGCCCTCTCCCAGTGGACAAACAGAACAAGACACTATGACCACTTTGTGATCTGCGAGTCCCTGGACTCCAAAACAGTAACCTCTCAAATCAGCTACAACACTACAACTACGACTCGTCTGGACAACACTACTTCTTTCTCCGACAAAAAAATAAAGACGATGGATTCATCCAAGAACTTTTCTATTTCTTGGAGATTAGAACATAGACCGATGAAGCTTACTGGAAAGAACTGTCGGGAACAGAGCGGGATACTTTTTGGTGAAATTTTACATAATGGCTTGATACTTTGGAAGAAATTGAGGGAAATGTGACATTTCCTTTCTCTCCTTATATAGTACAACAACAACAAAAAACGACCAACAACAACCGATGTTAAATGAGCTTATCAGATATGTGTTCAGCTTCTGCTTCTGTTTTGGTCGTGGTTGTTCCTCTTCTTGCTTTTGCTCTGTTCCACAGTAATGCACACGTGCCAAATGACACTGCTAATGCTGCGACTGCCAATACTGAATGCAAGAACTTCATACACTAAAGACTTTTTACAACAGCTACAGTCATCTGCTTTGTTTTGTGCTCAGTTTGTGTAAGTGACAGTCCATTGCAAAGATGCATGGGGATGCTGCATTTTACTGTATATGATTGTGATCTATAGATATAACCGTGGAGATACTAGAATGGGTATACCTACAGACAGAAATGGAGAGACAATAAAATGATTGTACATCTTGTTGAACACAGTATAGTCGGTTTATCTATAATGTAAGCCCCTTAACTATAATGTAATTCTTGGGCAATACCACATGAATCAGTAGGTGCATTTCCTTTTATATCTGCAGGTCTGTGATCTTATGAATGTGTACTAACAAGACTGTCTCTGAAAGTATCTGGGTGGGCTAACTGGAGTGCCTCATCTGATGGGTTTGTCCAACATGACATGGGTAACCAATTAAGGTGTCTTTTTTTTTTTTTTAAAGCAGGTTACTCTTGTTGTGAATACTGTCTACAGAACTCAGCAGTTTTACGGGACAGTTAAACTTGTATGCAAGAGTTGATTCTTGTCATTTGGATTGTTTTTTTTACAAGAAACTATTGAGTTCTGTATGATTGAAAACTTCACAAACCCATGTTCTAACCTGGCTTTAAAGAAACAAGAGAAGTAAAAAAATGGGAGGAGACACAGTATTGTCGTTTTGTTTTTTTTGCCCACATTTCTTGAGTTCAGTGCTTGTTGTGTAGAAAAATGCATTTTCTTAGTGCCGACTGAGATGTAGATACTTACTGAGCAGATGATTAAAAGAAGCACTAGGGGGGTATAATGTGTTTTTTCCTTTTTTTTTTTTTTTAAACTTTCCTTTGTTATTTTTTCTCCATACTGATTAAACACGACAGGCGATGCCTCATTTTGTCAAAGAAACATGTTGCCTTTTCAAAATGGACTGACTAAAAGAGAATAGAGGAGCAAGGGTTTGTTTGATAATCTGTGTAAGGTGGACAAGACCAGAATTTGACATCAGATAAATTGAGAAAAAAAATAAAAGCACATTTAAACTATATATACAAGAGAATATTTGTTAATTTTAATAGTTTAATGTATTTTTTTGAATGTGGATTTGGGTTTAATTATTTTGGGTGCTCTGGGTGAACGCATATGCAATCAGTTTTTATGTTGAAACATTCAGTTTATGTCTTAATTAAATGCAAAATAAGTTAGCTAAATGAAATTCAAAGATACTGGAACACTAATGGAAAAATCTGATTATTGACTACAGCGTAATATCTTTGCCTTGGCTCTTAAAGTTGCACATTCTCATTTATGAATGAATTCTGTAACTAGCAATACTGTTTTTAATAAAAAGGAAAATGATTTCTCAGAGCTTTTGTTTTCTCCTGTCTTATGTTCATCACATTATTTCATAACTTATTAAAAAAGGGATTAGGGTCCAAAAATAACGACATTTGTTGGGTCATGAAATTGTTATTTTTTTCTCGTGAATTTGAAAAGCTGCCAGTAGGTGTCGCTGTCCGTGTGAGAGTGTGTTTTAGATAACACAACAGCCTGAGAGGTGATAAACATTAAATCACTCTGGGACTTAAACGTCGTTACCTCACACTTCATTCATTATTTGAAAAACATTTCTAGTGTCCAAAACGTCTCTGCTCCTGCAAAAGAAACACACAGGTAAGTGTACACTAATGCTACTTCACTTTAGCTTTTGAAGGGTCCACTTGCATTCAGTGGCATTTTAGCTCGACTATTCAGATAAATAAAAAAGTATTCCAACGGGCAATTATTTCTTGCAAACAGGTAGAAATTGCAGTATTCTTTTAAATTAGCTATTTTTTGACTGCTAACAATGCAAGCTTTGATAACGACTAGCCACATCGGCTATAGCATGCTACTGACAATGAAATAAACATTAAATGTGTAACCTGTCCTCAGCTCTGAATTAGAGAAAATACAACCGTTATTGTTGTTAATATGCAGTTTCAAGATATTACAAGTTCTTATTGACAAGTTCACCAAAGTTAACCTTGTGTCAGCGTGTTTCTGCTCCTCCACGTGCTGCCTGACAGGTCAACTTCAGGTCAAAGTGAGCTAACCACAGCTAGCTCAGTTGCTTTAGTTAATATTAGACTGTTGAAGTTGACAAGTGATATTTTTGAGCTCACATTTCAAAGTATTGAATATAATGCAATTTAAAAAAATGTACAAAAGATATATCTTTGAAAAGTACAGAAATGAGGAAGGAGAATGTAAATCTCACAGATGTTAATGGCGCCTGTTCATTTTGTTCTTTTTTTTTTTTTTGTTCTGTTTTTCTTAGTAGCTCGATTGGAGTATTTTTTTTTTGTATTGTCCGTTTAGTTTATTTTATTGGATTTTGCATTTGTTAATGCTGGGTAGGACTTGACAAGCCTAGGCTTCTTCCTATCCCTTTTCCAATGAGTCAAATGTGTATTATATTGAAATTGGCTTTTTATTTTTTTTATTTTATACAGATTTTCTTTTCCATTTGTTTATTCATTTTCATCTATTTTTAATCGTTCGAAATAAAGAACATTTCAAAACGCTGCCTTTTTTTTTTTAACTCAGTCCAAAGACGCTTTAATTTTCATGATTTTAAAGTAAAAATATTTAAAAATAAAAATATTTTTTTTATATGTTAGAGATTTGGGAGGACTTCTAAAGTAGCAGTGCGTGGTGTTGTATTGATAGCACATACATCAGAAAGTATTCAAGACGTATAACATACAAAAGCAAATTTCAGCTACATTTTCCTGGTAAATTTGAAGTGTGACAACTCAATAGAGGTTGTACAAATATGTGTGTGCTTGACATTGAATTTAACCATTCTCTGCAACTCTCTGTCCTTCCTCACTCCCAGCGCCCATGTGGATATGCAGAGGTTCATGTGGCCTGGTTATAAGATGCAGCTCCTTGCAGAGTTGCAGAAACAACAGAACAACACCCAGTTCTGCGATACTCTGTTGCAAACTGAAGGTAGGGGTATGCTAATTGAAGATTTCATTAGTACAGCACACTTAAAGTCAGAGCTGAAATGGTGACCCTTTTAGTTGTCTTTGGTCTTCTAGGTATCTCAATCCCCGCCCACAGTTGCATCCTTGCAGCTCTCAGTCCCTACCTGTCCCGGAAGCTGTCAGCATCCACCTCTCTGTCGGGTGAGAAGCACCAGCTCCAGCTGCAGGCTCTGAAAGCCCAGACCCTGCTTAAGATGGTCGGTCTTCTTTACTCTGGGCAGCTAGAAGTAAAAGGAAGCGTGGAGAAAAATGATGTGCTGTCTGCAGCCCGCCAGTTGGGGATCACAGATCTTGTTGAAGGACAGAATTGGCAGATGAAGGAGAGAGAACCACAGAAAAAGGGTTCACTATGTAGCAGAGATAAAGAAGAGAGAAATGAAAGTCTAAAAATGCAAGATGCACAACAAGTCCAGTTAGACTTTGCTGTAGCGAGAACTGCAGATTCTCCACCTGAAGAGAGAAGCTGTGTATCCATAGGCACACAAACTATTGCAACTGGTGAAAAGGCTGTGAGCAGCTCTTTTACTCACTCCAGCCAAACTAAAGCTTCAACCCAAGAGCCTGCATCCTCTCTACCTAAGTACAGTACATTACTAACCCAAAACTTCTGCTCTTCTTCCTGCCCAACCATTCCCTTCATGCTCAGTGAGGCATCAAGTGATGGAGTGTCTACATTAGATCCATCCTCTGACAGCGTCACCAACCCCACATCCACCTCTGCCTCGTCCAAAAATGTGATGGCTTTGCAATTTTTACTTGATGAAGACTCGAGCTCAAGCGCTACACCTCAGGAACACATTACATATCAACAGTCATCAGAGGGAGCGAAAAATGGCAAGTTGGCTGATGGCTGTGAAAACACAGAGGAGATGAACCTCCATAACCATCGAGAGGATCCACGTAGAGAAGGAAAATGTACCTCTAAAGAGAAGAGGCAAGATCATGCACATTTAGGGATGAGGAGTCTGGCTAAGATGAAACAAATGCACAAGATGATGGAGGCCACGCAGATTTCTATCAAGGTAAAAAAAAAGTTTTACACAAAGAAAAATAAGCTTGGAGGTATGTTGTTGCATAGTTATGTGTTTCTAATCCCTTCAATACAAAGTGATTGTGATGGCTAGTAGTCCACAGTGCATCAGTTGTACTTTAATTAGATGTAATGATTCCTACATGTATTGTCCCTGACAAATAACATAATAAATAAATAAACCCTGTGAAAGTTTACACTGCTTTGAGATGGAGAGCACAATGATCCTCTCGGCTATTAAGACGTCCCTCAATCAGATGAAGTGGAACTTTTCAAGATTAAACTACCAAAATTGTGAACCACCCCTCTTGTTTGGTGGAAAAGAATCCACCCCAAGAACCACAGTTTCCAGAGTTTAAGCAAACAGCAGTGCATCAACCCTGTACTCGCCTCACTTCACTATCACCCTGTTGATTTTAGAATCTGTTTTGAAATGCTCTTACTTGTTTTTAAGTCACTGCAATTTATTAGAACTTTTAACACCTTACACCCCAACACGATAACGCTGGTCCTCTGAGCAGTCTGTCCTTATCATCCCTCGGGCGTAGCGGAAAACTCAGGGGCGACCTGGCCTTCTCAGCTGCAGGCCCCCCGTCTGTGGAATCAATGCCCCCCCCCCCCCATCAGAGGTGCTTACTCATTAAAGTCAAAGCAAAACACAATACCTTCCTTTTTCCCCTGGCCTTTGAAATAAGTTAAAACATGTTGTTGTTTTTATGTCGGCTGAGGCTGTTGTTAATGTGCCATACAAATAAACTCCACTTAAGTTTGTCTCACTCTTATCCCCTGGATCCCTCTGCAGTTTGGAGTTGAACTAAAAACAGCTAAGTTAACATTAGAATCCTCAAAGTCTCTAAAATGAGACGGGAGATTTGAGACAGGCTTTGCTTGTTAACCAATACAGATTACTTTGTTAGATAAAAATCATCTCCCACTTGGGGCGCGGGTGGCGCTTTGGTTAGTGCGCGCGCTCATGAATGGATGCTGTGGTCTTCCAGGCGGGCGGTCCAGGTTCTAATTCTACCTGTGGCTCCTTTCCCGCATGTCATTCCCCACTCTCTCTCTCTCCCTGATTTCCAACTCTATCCACTGTCCTGTCTCTACATTAAAGGCACAAAAAGCCCAAAAATAAATATAAACAAAAAAAAAAATCATCTTTTATAATTAATAATTAATTAATAATTTTGTCAGCAGTTTCCTAGCTGACAGACGCAGCTTTAAAAACTTTTTGTCTTCTTTCACGATCAACGAGAAGAAAGGGGGGGGGGAAGAAAGAAAGAAAGGATTTTCTGTGTCTTCATGCTTAGATGGACTGTGACTCCTTGGACTCAAGTGCCACAGATTTAGCTGCCTCCACAGTAGAATCATATCAATCATCACATCCCTTATCTGGCATGTGTTTGGTCTTGCCTTTATAGACTCAGTCACAACAAACATGTATGAATCCAACATGTCTGCTTCCCTCTGCAGGTGAAGCTGAGGAGGAGGACTGAAGAACAAGTGTGGGAGGTTGTGAACAGGCAAGACTCGGATGAAACATTAGCTGCTCTAGCTTCCCTGCAACAGGTAAAAAGTGATCCAGTTAAGTTACTTTATTGGATGTTAGCAGCAATAAATTAACAACAATTAGCATAATTTAAATTTGGAATATTTTTTTCACAATATGTCACATTTGTTTGAAACGGCTGGAGCTTACATACGTGCACTTTTTAGAGTAAGAATATTTATAATGAATAACTTCTATAAAAACTAATTTGACTACAAATAAACTGATACAGAATATTTCAACTGTCATCTATCTCGAGAATTACATTAAGTGTCATAATGAAGTTTAAATCCCCTTTCAGCACAACAAACATGACATTTATTCATGTAGGTTTCTGTGGTTAAAAAAAGGCAACACACCCATTCAGTTTGTATGACCTGAACTGCTTTGTTTGGTGACAACATACAGTTCAATGTCACACATATAGCATTTATAGCACAGTGCATTGCTGAGCCTCTTTTCTCCTGCATAAAATAATAAGTGAGGTGGCTGAGATATGTTGCAACCCATTTAAATCCGAGACTGTAAACAAAGCTGCCTCCAGAGCAAGTTTTGTCAGCAGCATGAGTGACCATGGCAACCAAAAAAAAAAGAGCTACCTTTGTAAAATGAAAACTGCTCAACAAACCTCCCAACCTCATTTATCTCCCTACTACCTGCAGTAACTCACACAAACACATCTTTTACATTCCCCTTTCCTTGCTAAAGGACTGAGATGGTATAAGTGATGATATAAGTGAACTATTCAGAGGAGAAAATAAAGCTGTTTCAAATGTGCTACAATGTTGTGCAGCAGACACAGTGATCCAAAATCACTGGATGGTAGTTTGAGAAAGCCCTGGTGGAGTAGATTTAATTTCAAGTGGGGGAGATTGTAGGCGGAGGAAAGTGATGAAAGTGGCACACCAATGTGTCAGGACAAGTTGCTTTATGATGAAAACAAAGGGTTAAGTCTGTTTCATCATCTGCTTCCAGAATCCACACGAGCATCAGCAGCATTAAAACCACACTGATAATTGTTGCATCACTTTTTCATACTGCACTAAATAAAAAATGTGTGATTTCCTCTTCTTCTTATTTTAAGGATGGCTCCAACCATAAAAGGCCGCAGACAGACCTTACAAATGATGCTCCTCCATCCACATCAGTCCAGCCAGATTCGATCTCTAAACCAAAGAGCCCGCCTCCTCAACCTGCCACCAGCAACTCCACTGACCCACAGCCACCTCACTCCGACACCACCTCCAACTCCCAGATCCAAAATGGTGGACTCGATCCGGTCCCGCTCCCCCAGCCTTCAGGCCAAGTGGAGGACTCTGATGAGCAGATTGAGAAGCTGCTGGAAGACATCATGATGGGTCTGAACATCCTGCCTAGCTTAGAGGGAGACCCTAAGAAGTCTCATCTACTTCAACCGAGCAACGAGCGAGCACCTGCCACCTGCCAGATCCGACCTGCAGAGAACGACGCAGTGACCGGTCAGATGCATGCTGGTGTTGATGCAGCAGTGTGTGAATGCTGTCAGGATCTTGGGACACAAATTGGCCTCTCTTCAACAGAATCAGGTTTTAAATTACGTCTTTTATTTCTAAGAAAATATTTAAGTGTTCAATTTAGTTTTGTACTTTATTTACTTAATTGTAGATGAATGGGTGTTCATTATTTACACTAGTGTGTCTAAAGAATATTTAAATGCAACTAGAAATAATCAGTCTTCCGGTTATTTACATTCCAGCACAGCACAAAAAAAAAATCAAAGTTTCTTACATTTGTTGATTAGAGCTAGGCGATATGATTTATTAAAACTTATTGGTTCAGGATGAATGAAAAATATTTTTTACATCTTGAGAAATTATATTAAATTTCCATCACCACTCCCCTGAGCTACCTTAGGGTGCATTCACACCAGAGCTGTTTGGTCCGTTTGAAATGAACTCTGGTGCGCTTTGTCGCGTAGTCCTTTGGTTCAGTGGTGGTGTGAATGCTTATACCAACTCAGGTGCGGACCAAATAATCAAACTCTGGTCCGCTTAAAAACGGGGGTCTCAGTTCACTTTGTTGTGAACAAGAAGAAAATCTGAACCAAACAAAGAAATTAAGTAAAAAACAGTGCACCAGCCTTCAGTCCTCTTTGCTTGTTAACGTCAGCATGACTGTGCTCACTGTGGTTACAGATTGCTCCGGTTGGTTTGTCAGTTTAACATGACACAGCAGTCATATTGCTTTATCTCCATACTGCCAAACTGCCCCAGGCTACAAAATGTCAAAAATCAGGCAGGATGGCAGTAGCCTCTGAGATTATTTTCTGCTGAAAACTGTCTCAAGACTGACTGTGGCAACAAGCAGCAGCACGACTCATGTATTCAAGCTTTTTAAATAAGGGGACCCAGCCCAGCGGGAGAAGTGGCACTGACAGCAGCAGCCCAAAAGACATGCTTAACAAATATCTGTATCAAATTCATGAGTATGACAAAAGATGAGAATTTATTTTGAGCTATAGAAACGTAGGAGGACAGCATGTTTCCTTAATGTCTGATGATATAGTAAGATCATTTTATGATTTCAGAATCAGATTTATTGTCCAGGTATGCTTACACACACAAGGAATTTAACTTGGGTGAACTGTGCTCTCTTATGTACAGGTACAACATTAAATATCAACAACAAACAACACAAGAAAAGATATGTCTTTCCATCTGTTTGTACAGGTATCCATTGTTGTTTTACACTTCAGAACCAGCCCAGCTGCTCAAGCCTTTCATCGGTTCAGTCGGATGTTGTACCAGCCAGGCAGCAGCAGCAGCTGTGCTCTCCTCAAAATCCATACTCCGTCACATCCATGAGCCAAAGACCTGGACCGAGCCACCAGGACATGTCGCTGTCTAAAAGTCCAAATCCAAGCAATGAAGTTCCCACAGCTATAGTCATTCCTGTAGCTCTCTACTGTACTGGGCAAATAATACAATACCCAGAAGTCAGTCTTCACAAGTCTTCACAAGAGGATCAGAACAGCCTGGAGATTCTACCCCGGACAGATGTTCCTGATGCACCATCCTCACTCTCTGTTTCTTTACCATGCATGGAGGACTTCCAGCTCCCTCCATGTCTCTCTCCTTTGGAGTCACCTTCCTCAGCAGCGAAACATCAGTATAACTTCAGCAACCTGACGAGCCATAGCGACAAAATCCAGCTGCAGCCATGTCTGCATAGGCCACCATGGCTCACTGAAGACCCTGGATCACTACAGTATCCTCTCATTGCCATCACTCACAACAGAAGTACAGGTGGATCTTCACCACGAGAGAAGAACAACGGCTGTTGGGAAAAGTGTCAGCAGGGGGATCTGACTCCACAAACTGGAGGAACCTGTGCAGAGTCAGGCCAGGTGAATGAACGAAGAACAATATCAGCAGATCAACACAATGTAGAAGAAGGGAAGTCTCCACCCAAGAAGATGAAGACATATGAGAAATGTAAACAAAGTGAAGCAGATACTGCAGCGCCTGGAAGGAGAAAGAGAAGTCGTCTCCAAGACGCTGTGGGTTCTCTTTCCCACAAAGAAGTGAACGATGGTGATGCAACACAGAGTCAGTTCAACATCAGCGTTTGTTCTGTCCGTCTGTCGAGCAACAACGTGTTGGCAAAGAAAAGAGAACAGGCCACCAGTTCATCAAACATGCCTGACACTCCTGCAGCGACACAAAATGAACCGTCAAATATTACAGAAAACCGGACGGAGAAAACCAGAGAGCCTCGCGGTGGGATCAGGACCAGAAGCTTTTTGAAAAAAGCTCAAGAGACTGCAAATAGCACAAGCCCACAACATTCCTCTGTTTTGAAAACTATCGACCATGAAGCTACGTTCGGGAACAAACAAGGTGAGTCATGCCCCAAACGGAAACGTGGAAGGCCCCCGAAAGTGAGGCGTCAAAAGAGTCCAGAGATCTCTCATACCATCACTGAGCAAAAGGATGACTCTGCTAAAAATGAGCCCAACAGTAGTTTGTCAAAAAAGGAGGAGGGAAGAACAGCAGAGAGAAAGTGTGAGAAACGGAGGAGGAATAGAAGTCGAGTTGGGGTAGTTCCTCTGAAGAAGACCTCGAGGGCTGAGAGCACAACAGAGAAAGACCTAAACAACAACGAGGATCCAGCCGTGAGGAAACCCAAACAACCTTGCATGGTCACTTTAAAGGAGTTTCAAAAGCTTTTCAGACAGCGGCATTTAAAAACCAGGATGTCAGAAGAAAACCGGGATGAGAAAATGAATAAAACCGCAAGAAAGGAAGAAAATGATGAAGACAGTTTCCCAAGAAGTGGATGTGAAGAATCAACCAGGGAGACAGAAATAGGTCTCATTCAGCCTGATGACACCGAGGGGATCAGAGAGTCGCACAGTATCTTGGATGTCACAGTTGATAAAAAACAAAATCACATTTTAAACAACAAGGATAGTGAGTCACAGAAAGAAGAAACACACAACTCTACTGGTGAGGAGGCCTGTTTGTTTGGTGAAGAGCAGCACTCAGTGTTTTCCTCTGATGTTTGGGGAGGAGATGTGGAAGCGTTAGCAGCAGAGAGGGAGCAGCCACTCCGGAGTCGACATGAAGGTAATGATAATAACTGATGATTGTTTTTATTTTATTGTACAGGGACAGTAAGAATTGCATTAAAATAAAGATGAAACAACATCCTCTGTGGCTCTCTAGTGGTGAAACATGTCACAAACAGTTTGACGTTGCAGATTGCTCAGAGGTATCATGCCGTGTGACTTTTTTGATACAAATTAAACAACAATGTATCACAAGTAGTCCTAAAGTGAGATTTAATTTAAATGTATAAAAATACAAAAGTATAATCAGCAAAATGTCTTTAAAATATCTGCGGCCAAAGTGTTGGTTATAACTGATAACTCGGCACAAACGAAGTTCACTCAAACTAATCTAGATATAAAGGAACAAGATACTCGTCATTGAGCCAGTTTAAACATACAGTCTTTAGTTGAAATAGTTTTATGAAGTTAGGTGAAAAAATAAATTGTTCATGTTTTGGACTTCACATAAAAGCTTATTTCTCCTCATTAGAAATAACTACTCTGCAATTAATCATAAACACAATTTTCTCAAAACACTGCTTTGTCTTGTCAAGGACTACAAGCATAAAACACCTTTAGTCAAAGCATCCTCTACATGAAGCCTAACCACACATTGTTATGTTCAAGTATCTTAAACTCCTTTAAAGTGTTGTAAAAACTGCTGCTGATGTAGCTTACTGCTTCCTGTTTTTTAGCTCCGACTTGTGATGGAGCAGTGTCAACACAGCAGACTATCAATGACGATGGAGCTTCTCATAATGACTCCAATTTGGCACAAGACATTATGCCTTTGGACCACATTATAAACCCCCAGACCCCTAAGAGGACTGGTCTGCCGCTGATGGATGCTGATGGCTGTAAGAAGAGCTCAGGCTGTGATCAAAAAGAAGTGAATGAGGAGGAGGAGGAAGTGGAGGTAGACGTTCTGCTTTACTCACCGGACAAAGCGCCTCAGACCAGATATTGTGAGAAAGGACAGGAAAACGTGGACATTATTCCAGAGGAGGAGGAGGAGGAAGAAGAGGAGGATGTGAATGAGATTGATGTGACTGGAGATGAAGCAGAGTGACCTTTTGACCTTAAATTGTAATTGGTTTTTACTCTGACATGTTAAGCCGTTGGTTAGACTGAGCCTAAACTTATGTTCTAGTTTATGGATGTTCATAGAGATTCCAGAGGAAGTGAGATAACTGTGTCCCTCCCTCTCTGTTTCCACCATCAGCCATCAGGTGATTTAAAGCTTTGTCCATGAAAGAATCACAGACTGAGGGACAGTTTTGACCTCCATTTGGTTCCATTTAAAGGTTCAATGTTATGTTTGTTTTGCCATTAACAATAATGCCTTAGCATTAATACAAATAGGGAACCAACGTTCTTATTGCTGTTTAGATTTATCCTTTGTATTTGTAAATAGTTTCATTAATTTTACATTTTCACTGAACGTTGATTTGGCAGACTGATTAGGTAAAAGTACTTGAAGTGATGACGTGTTTAAAAAGGAACCTTATTTTGAGCCTATGTTTGTAAAGTTTAATGTTTTTTATGTGAAACAAAAAATATAAATAGTGTTTATAAAATCAATGTCTGTCATTTGTTGAATTAATAGGCAGCCTACGAGTAAACAGGGCGGCCAGCAGAGGGCGCACTGTCTCCCTTTGCGGTTTGGATCCAACTTTATTGACAGCGGAAGTGCGGGCGGAAATGGTTCACACGTGCGTTCATGCAGGTTTGAAGGTTAAAGAAGAAGTAGCCGGTAGGTTTTTTTGTTCCGCTGTGTGCAGGAGAGGGTCACCAGGACGGCGTGAACAACACTGAAGTGCAGACATGGATCCTCTGAAGGCACAGCAACTAGCGGCAGAGCTGGAGGTGGAAATGATGGCTGACATGTACAACCGGTAAAAACCTAAACACGCTAACAATTAGCTAACTATCGCTATTTAGTGTTTCATCTGTCATGAGTAAACCCATGGCCTCAGTCTTTATTTAACTTGAGTCCATACGTTGTTAAATCGACATTGTGGTGAATGAATGAAGACAGTATAATAACAATTACAATAATAATATATATAATAACAGGAGTTATAATTATATTAGCCACATGTGACACATTGATGCTCACACTTGTCATAGAGCTGCAGTTTGTTACATCACTGTACAAGCATCGATTTACAAACATTTAACTGTGTCTAAAAGTCATTTATTAATGCATGCAATCTACAATGTAACATATAATAACTTAACTTTTCTTTAGTTAAAATGCAGATGAATGTAGCATTGACGTCTTCTAATGGATTTCAATGGAAAGCTAATGACAGCTTGAAGAGCTGAATGTCATCGATTGTCTTCCCCTTTCAATAAAAAAACCCCAAACAATACAATGGGATTTCATATTTTCTACCCTTTTTAAATGATTTATAAAAGCTATACAATATTGTTTATATCAATTTTCCAAAAGAGAATTTGAGAAATGTTAAAAGTTGTGTCTCCACCGTCCAGACACAGCAGGGATGATTTGATTGTTCCAGTAACAGTTGTTGTTGTTTTTTTTTTTGTAAATGTTATTTAATTCAAACAAACAATAAAGTTAAGAAAAACAAACATAAAATCTCAAATTTTGAATAAAAAGGAGCAGAAATAAGACTAATCTTATAATATCTGCCCCTCTTTCACAAAGCATGAATTAAAACAAAACACTTAATTCAAAAACAATTAAAATGACTAAAACAATTAAAATTAATTGTTAGCTTGATGCACTGATTAACATTAAGATGCTCACAAACTGAAAGCAAAATAACTAATGAATCATTATGATCCAACGTTCCTACCTCTTTCAGTAAAATGACACATAAGGCATTATTAGCATTTAAAGCAACACATGTACATCACATAATGTGTTTGACTGTGTCAGTGAGCTAGCATGCTCACCACCAGAGCAACAAAAACACAAATCTACTGTGGCTGCTATGAATCAAATCCAAAGTTTTCTACTATGATGACATATCAAAATGTATATTGGTAACTTTGGCTCAACAGAGAAGTGAGCTGGATCATTCTAAACTATGCTAATCCAAATGCTCTCTTATAACTACTGTATATGTTTTAATTGAAGCAGCCACATGCAGAGTGGCAGATGCATGATGTGGATACACGCGAGACATATTGACTTGACCAAACTGAAGTCTTACAATATCAATATTGTCTATATTTAGGTTGTCTGTCTCATGCTCCCTGGTAATGTAGGTACTTGGTTTGTGGATTTACAAACTGTCATATCTTATCTGAGGAAAGCTAGTGTTTTTGAAATGACTTAAACTTGTATTCCCACATATTCATTTCAGTGTCCTGGTAATATGCCTGCTGCCTGTCTCCTTGTCATGACAAACTGGGACACCTAAAAGGAACAAAGCCATTATTACTGTTATGAATTATCCCTGTGCTTGTCTGCTATAAGAAACTATATTCTAGGTCATGAGGCACATTGTTTCTGGAGTCAGCTCTACGGCTAATCTCACAACATATGTTTGAGTAATGGCAGCTGCTTGATGTTATGTCTTATAATTTCAGACATAAAGATAGAGCATATTTTGCTGTAAAAAGCAACTTTTTCCAAATCGGTTTTAAAAATGAATAACCCCCATATGTGTTCTGCAGCACTGTCATTGTTTTGTAAAGATATGTTCTGTTCTGTTCTGAAGATATTTGATGACATCATAGTAGACTTAAGGACCAAATAATTTAAGCCTTTTATTCAGATGTTTTCTACACACACACACACACACACACACACACACACACACACACACACACACACACACACACACACACTCTCACACACTTGGTGTAATAACGATGTTTTTTTTAAATCTGGCTGTCTCCTGTTTTCCTTTTCTCCCAGAATGACCAACGCCTGCCACAGGAAGTGTGTACCTCCGCATTACAAGGAGGCAGAGCTGACAAAAGGCGAGTCTGTTTGCCTGGACCGGTGTGTTGCCAAATACCTGGACCTCCACGAGAAGCTGGGACGCAAGCTGACAGAGCTCTCGGTCCAGGATGAGGAGATGATGAGGAAAGCAGCTGTTGGCAGCGGATAGAGACACTGATGAAGGGAATGAAGTGGAGCATTGTGGGGGATTTCAAGGTTATGGGTCAGGGTTTGCATATTTAGTTTCTCTCAGATGAGAGCACTGTATTTTAAAGAGTGGGAGGGTTTTGTTGGAATTGAAAAAAAAATGAAATAAAAGTCATGTTGAGGGTCTAGGACCTCCTCTGTGGCAGAGACGGAGACATTGGATGCAGCTGGAGGAATCACTAAGCTGCATGGATTGCTCGCAGTTATCCATGAGCCTCTCTGGAAGTGTTCAGCGTGGCCTGGTCTTCCTGAAGTCACCCAACGACCAACTGAAGGGGAGAAATTCCTGGACCCTTAAAAACATTTCTAAGTCAAACTTTGTGCTTGTTTTTAGCTGCTCGGAGTGCAAAAAAAAATCTGCCACTACTGCAGAAATTCAAATACCTTAAGGCAGTACCAAGCATCTTGTACTTAGGGCAGGTCAAAACAGACACTCAGGATCATCACCATGCAGTCTTTGTTCCCACATCACCCTTTGAACTTGGCTATTCTTATTTCTTTTGAAAGGTTGTAAACAGAATACGATATTCAGGTAGAAATACTTAACAAACTTTCTTTTTTTGCAGCCAATTGTGTCAGTTTTTGCACAAAACAATGAAATACAGCAAATCAAATGAACAGACAAAGATTAGGCCAGGCAAGGAATCAATTATGTATGACGGATGCCAATATGTCTTTCTCTATAAGACACTATGCAGAGTTTACTCTCTTACAGCTGTAAGGTGTTGGCTCTGTGACATTAACTCACTTACAGACTGTCAGCCAGGCCCTTCAGGTTACATGGACATGTGTTGAAGTTGAACTTTGCTTATTTGTCATGCTTGTTTTGACTGTGACGTCATAAATGTCAGTGGACCATGTTTTTGACTGTGATACTTCTTTTTTCTGTAACGACTGTCAGCGGCACACCTACTTAATAGACAAGCTGCACTGTGTTGTATTTTGTTGTTGTGAATGAATAATAAAACAATGCTATCCTTTATCATATCAACAAGAGTCATCACTTTCATCGAATTAATTTTCCTTCATTTTGTTTATGTTTTATACATAGACCGTAAATGGTTTTATAACCGAGAGGAGGGAGTGTTTAGAGATATGCCTGTGCCTTTAAGACAAACAGTGAAGCACAGGAGGGAGGAAGTGAAAACTACCGACTTTCGTTTCCTTCGCGAAACTTATTTTTACCTTGACGTTGTGCCTGGGAAAGGGGAAGTAAATGTAGATATCAGAGGTGAGCTGAGTGTTTCTGTCTCATCGGGTGGACAAACTTCAGAAACACGGTAAGTGAGTTTAAGGTGTTGGTGGGGGTTGAAAGAATGAAAGCTTAAACATCAGCGTAAATAAATGATTCTTCTATTAGGCTGTGTGGCACCGATGTGTCTTGTATCATACTAATCAAATAAAGCAGAAGTCCCTAAATGTTCTATCTAATGATTGCCAGACGCTTCATTGAAGTGAGTAAAAGTTCATGATTTGGAGAACAAAAAGTAGCCTAAGTTACAACCTGTCAAACGCGTCTTAAAGTAGACTTTATTGTCCCCAAGAATAACATGTTTATTATTCATATTATGCTTAACATGACCTCAGTAGTGTAGTAACCTACGTAGACTTCGACAGGACATTTGTGCTTTAATGCTAACATTGTAGCTAACATGTTGAGTATCATATCCTCTTTTCATAGCAGATTAAAGTAAACGAAACAAAAAAAAACCCGAACAAACCTTTCAGAACCGTAGTATTTAAATGTGTTGGATACATTGTTCTTAATAGTAAAGAAAGCTAAGAACGCAAAGCAATAGCCTAAGTAAAACAAGAATCGATATTAAAAGGTAACGATCAATAATAATAACTAGAAAGAGGGGACAGTCTCGTGCTTTCCTTTGAGACTTCGGTAAAGTTAGAAAGATATTCACAGATTCGTCTTTCCCGGATCAATAACTCATCAGCGGAACATTGCTTTTACAAAACCGACACCTCTGCATTAAAATAAGTAATAACTGTAACATGTAGTATCATCAAACTCATAATAATAACTTTATTGATAATCATAATAACTTTATTTATATAGCACCTTTTAAAAACACAGGTTTACAAAGTGCTTTGACAAACAGCAAAAACAAGAACAAAGCAAACTAAACCAATAGACCATCTCATTAGAAGAACTGAAAGACATTTGAAAGCCTGAATGGACCTTACAGGAATAATATAAAGAACATGTGTCATTGATTGGTTGGGATCTTTGCTTTATGGTGAACCATCTGTTAGTCTGGTTTTCTGCTTCTTTTGAACACCAGATGGAGGCAGCTGACGGGGAACCACTGCTCCCGGATGAGCTTGAAGCACCTCCTAACGCCGCCCTGAATGAGCTGCTGAATGTGGGGCAGGAAGCCGACATGCAGGGTCAGGTGAGATCCCCCATGTCCTGTGAAATATACTTTCAACTCCACTCTCTTCAAATCTGTGATCAAAAAATATATATCTCACCCTATCCTCCCATCACTTCTCCATGTTTACCTCAGGTGGAGGAGTTTCTGGCCCCGCAGGCAGAGTACAATGAAGAAGAGGAGGAGAGGAAATATTACAGGAGGAAGAGGCTGGGAGTCATTAAAAATGTTCTTGCAGCCAGTTTAGGAGCCATGGTTGTGTACAGTGTGTACATGGGTGAGTCTGATAAGAGAATAGTATTTGAAATGAGGAAAGAATAACTTGGACCGGCACTTTGATGAGGTATTAAGAGTATATGCGGATGTGTTTGTGTATCCCACAGGTCTCCTGCAGATGCAGCTGATTCTCCATTATGATATGACCTACCGGGAGGTGAAGTATAGCAACCTTGGTTTGGAGGACATCGACCGTAAGATGCTGATGGGCATTAACGTCACTCCCATCATAGGCCTGCTGTACACCCCCATACTTATCAGGTACTTAAACACAATCAGTAAAACATTTCTTTTTTTTGTGTCCTTGCTCAGCCTACCATATAGAGTATATACTCCATATGTTTCAGGTTTCTTGGAACCAAGTGGATGATGTTCCTGGCTTCGGGAATCTACGCACTCTTCGTCTCAACCAATTACTGGGAGCGATATTACACCTTGGTTCCATCAGCAGTAGCCATTGGTGTGGCAATTGTGCCATTCTGGGCCTCCTTGGGAAGTTATATCACTAGGTAAGAAACAGGACGGGTGGATTGAGAGGTTTCATTAAAGGCTGAAGCTTGACCTTCACTACCTACCAGTAGTAGATTTTAAACACGTTTAAAGTAAAGAGAAAAAGTCTATTAGTAGTTTTTACAGAAACTAAAAACTGTACTGCTGTGGGATTGAGAGATGTATATCTTACATGTATAAACTAAACTCAAAATAGAGTGTAAAGTCACATCCCCACTGTGTGACTGTGTGTGAATGATAAGCTAGTTAGTGGCCAGGCATGGTACATAATTAGCCTATGGAGAGTGTGCGTGTGAAAAGGTGACATGTGGTGTAAAGCTAGAATGTAGAAAGGCACTAAATAAATACATACCACTTATCCTTTTTTCCACCTTCTCACCCCGCACACACATGCTCAAACACACACAGGATGGCCCAGCAGTACTATGAATACACCAACTACAAGGAGGAACATGTGCAGGAGCAGAAGAAGCTTCCTAAGGGGGCGTGCAACAGCTACATCATAGTTTTCCACTCAGTCTTTTATATCATCTTCCATGTGAGTCTTCAGATGTCTTTCTCCACTAATACTTCCAACAATGCCATGTTGTGTTGCAGCGTTTGTGAAGTTGCAGAAACTAATGAGCATTATTTCCTGTCTTCTCTCTCCCTTCTTCATCAGCTGAGTTTGGTCTTTGCGGAGTTCCCCATGTTTTTTGTCCTTAACGATTACCTGCGTGAGAGCGACCACATTCTCAGTAGTGTCACTTCCTGCGGTAAGGTCACATTGGAGGACGGTAAAGTAATAATCAGTGTGTGACGGACAATTTATTCCTGTTCCTGCAACTGAGTAGCACTTGGGAGTGTCGATTGGCTGTGCACACGGGGTCGACTGTTTGTCCTTTTGACTTTCTGTTTGGCCAGTTAGGAGCAGCAGAACAAGCTGAGACACAAACTGACAAAATGATAACATTTGAAATTGTTCATTTCATTTATTCTACAGGAAAGTTTAAAAGTAACATTAAGTTACAGTTTAACGGGCCTGACTCAGTTTAAAAACTGGTTTCCAGCAGGTTCCTGTTCTGCAGAACATGAAACGTAAACCACAGTCATGACACATCAAGACAAAGACATTTACAGGACATTAGCATGGGCTAGGCAGATACAGACAAATAGAAACAAACAGTACAGATACTGCGAACAATACTTGAACAATTAATGAGTGCAAGTGTGGAGAAGGTGTCGTTTGTATGTATTCTTGAAATATGAGGTAGATGATGTTGTTGGGTGTCATCAACATTATCAGCATTTAATAGAGTCCAAATGTCCTCTGGATAGAGCAGACAGATGTGCGAGATAACATATCAGAGAGTCAGGAACAAATGAGATCAGCTGACCGGTGTTTGCAAAAGTGAATTTATGTAACAAAATTAATGTTCACAGAAACCAAATTTAACGTATGTTAAACGTTCTGTTAATCATCTTTTAAGTTAAAGTCCATGTTAAATATTAATCCAAAAATGTATATAGATAATTAACAGTTCTACAATTCTACAATTCACTTAGCAGACGCTTTTCTCCAAAGCGACGTACATCAGAGAGTAAGTACAACACAAGCAAGGATCTAGAAAAAAAGGAACAATGTCAGTAAGAGCAAACGATCAGCTTTGAGTCTGATTGGACACACAGGTGCTGACAGGAAGTGACCAGAGGCAAAACACAACATTGAGGGCAGTTCTTGAGAGCTCTAATCAGTATAGAAACCATCTTATAAGTCATCGTTATCAAGCAAAAACCATCGTCATTACCACCTTAAAGGTGCAGAGGGACTCTGCAGATCCAATGGAGTTTGGAAGTTCATTCCACCACCGGGGGGCGACAGAGGAGAAGAGTCTAGTCAGTTAACAGATGAATGTAGATGTACCCAGCTCTGATTATCTATCATCACAATATAGATTGTTTAGTGTCATAGCCTCAAATGAGCACCATAGCATGCATCAAAACAACATGTCATAATTAATACCATACCCTATAGAGCTTTAAATGTTTCTTTATATTTCAAAACATCTAATTGTCTTACGAATTGTTTCATAAAAACCGTGTTTAATTTTCTCAATTCAAAGTCGTAAAAAAAACATACAAACAAACAAAAGAAATAAGGCTCAGGTCTTAAACTCATGCCCTCATAGAGGACAGGATTTTACACGTTTGCATCAAGTACAATCGTTGGCTAGCTTGTACCGTCTTTTCTTTTCTTTGGTGATAAGCGAGGTGCTACTATCTAACTTGTGAAGTGCAACACTTCTTTTAAAGCTGAAATGTTTCCATGTTGCAAGCCATGTTTCCATGGCAATGCTTTATTTTTATTGTGAACAAGAAAAGTCAAGAAAAAACTGTAGAGAGGTTTCAAACTTACAACAAGGATCACATGATCTAGTTGTCTTTCAAATGCTGCTCTGTTAGTTATTCAATAATTCATTCAGAGGCTCCGTCTTACCTGTCAGTCAAACTACACTGAAACCTGTAGTTTTCTTTTCATACTCCTCCTTATAACTGAACCTTCTGTTTTTTAGATCTTGATAAGACAGTTCTACGGGGAGAGGGGGAGAGAGAGTGAGAGATGACGTGCGACTGTGACTGTAACCTCTGCTCTACCAGATGAGCTACAGTATACACTAGCGCCCCCTGCTGAGCCTTCTCTTTCTTTCAGGAGCAAATATCAGTGGCGTGGTCCCCGGCTTCAACACCACCGTGCTGAAAAACCTGCCTGCCTCCATGCTGCTTATCAAGGTGGAGAGTGTCCTGATGGGCTTCGCCTTCCTCGCAATGATCATCGTAAGATCATATAAAACACACACAAGCCGTACACACACACACACACACACACACACACAGAGCCATCATACTTCAAATCAAAACACACATCAGAGCTACTCAGTAGGTTAACTGCCCATAAGGTGTAAATGTGAGTGTGGATGGTGTCTGTCTCTATAAGTGCTCTGTCAGCCCTGTGATTTACTGGCGATTAGTCCAGGGTGTAACCCCGCCTCCAGCCCCCTGTGACCCTGAACAGGACAACGCGGTGAAGATAATGGCTGGATGGATGGAAGTATAGACTACATATTTGAAATCTTTGAAGTCTCAGTTTGCAGTTTCAGTACAGGAGCTGATAGACTATAGCATATAATAGAAGCTAATAAAAATATGAATTGAATCACCCTTGTAGGAAGTTGAACACTGATTTTTGGATATTGAGCAAAATATGGGTTGATAGTTTTTGTCCTAACTTGTTTTTCAGGAGCTAGGAATTAAAACTGATGGCATCAGAGCCATCAGGAAGGTTGGCTTTAGTGGATAGAGTAGAAACTCAGGGAAAGAGAGAGAGAGAGTGTGGAAGGAGCAAGAGGTAGGACTCAAACCTGCTTGGAGGTCTACAGCCTCCATATGTGGGGGTGCGACCTACAACCAAACCGCTTGGGCCTTCGGTGCCCCTAAGAAAGATTTGTTTTAATGTGCAGAGAATTGTGTTTGTATATTATCTGTTCACCCAAGCTCCCCCCAACAATGAGCTGAAAAGAATTGTCCTCATTGTTCTGATTAAAGCACTCACAAACACAAGATTAATCACTAAATCATTCAACATCCCCTCTACCTACAGTTCCTCGTGCTGTGTGGTGCTGCTTACCGTCCCACAGAAGAGATTGACCTCCGCAGTATCGGCTGGGGAAACATCTTCCAGCTTCCTTTCAAACACCTGAGAGACTACCGGCTGCGACTGCTCTGCCCGTTCTTCATCTACAGTGGACTTGAAATGATGTTTGCCATCACTGGATTCTCTTTGGTACTGTGCCGTCAATAAACGAGTCTAAATAGTAGAGCAGCTTGTACTTGCACTTTTTGTGGTATATTTACATCATATAATATGTTTTTTAGGTCGCTTCTCTTTTCTCCACAGTCCTATGGTGTGTGCGTTTTGGGTCTCAAAAAGCTGTGGCTCCTGATAGTGGTATACGGCCTCTCCTGCTCCATATTTTCCTCCCTCTCCCTTTGCCTCCTGCACCTCCCGCGCTGGCTGTGCCTAATCGGAGGTGCTTTTGTGCATGGCGTGCTGCTGGTGGCTCTCATGGCGTTCTCTCTAACGAAGAACCAACCATCTTATCAGGCCCCTCTGCTGGTTATCTCTGTGCTGTGGGGACTTGGCACTGCCCTCAACAAGACGGGTGTCAGCAGTGAGTAACAGCTGTGGTCCAGAGTCTGTACTGATCATACACTAACTCTGTTCACACCTGACCCCAAAAACTCCTCTGTGTTTGTGTCAGTTTTGGTTGGTATGCTGTACTCTGAGGATAAGGAACGTCTGGACTTTGTCTATACTATCTATCACTGGTGGCAGGCCATCGCTATCTTCATAGTCTACCTCTGGTCCCACCTACCAATGAGGGTAAGACAAAAGTTAGACAGCGACTATTTGAAGGAAAAGCGCCTCCTTTTACTCCCTTCACCAATATGTGTCCTTCTTCCTCAGGCCAAGCTCTCCATCCTGTTGGCCACTTTGCTGCTGGCCTGTTACTGTTATTGGTTGATGGAGCGTCGGCTGGCCATGAAAGTTCAATACAGACTGCCTCGCATCCCTCGCCCACGGCACAAGGTAAAAGAGTTTGGGGGATGTGAACCAAACTCGAACATGATTATATTAATAGTGAATAATTAGTATCAATCAATCAATCAAACTTTATTTATATGGCGCCTTTCAGACAAATTCAATTGCAGTTCAGAGTGCAGAAAAGTTATTGACGAAAAAGTAGTTCATAAAATCATTGATAAAATCATTGAGAGACTAATGCACACCAATAAGAATTAAAAAAATATGTATAAAAATGAAAAAAATATGTATAAAAATGAAAAAAATAAAATATGACATATAAAAACAATAAGATATTAAAGTTAATACATAGGAGAAGAATATTTAAAATTGTAGTAGGATAAAAAAGACAATACAGTAATGTTAAGATTTGAATTGATATAAAGCACTATATAAAAGCCAGACTGAATAAATGAGTTTTAAGACTGCGTTTAAAAATCTCAATATTCTCTTCTCAGACCCTCAGGAAGGTTGTTCCACAGTCTCGGAGCGTAACAGCTGAAAGCAGCATTGCTCTGTGGAACAACTAAAAGAGAGGAACTGGAGGATCTGAGGGGCCGTACTGGTTCATAAACTAAAATCATATCTGATAGGTAGTCTGGTGCAAGGCCAGTGGTGTAATGACGGACGATGAGATAGTTGTTTGTGTTTGGCAGCTTCAGTGCACAGTGAGGTAGGTGATGAACCATATTCACATTCACGCCGGAAGTGCTTCCAGTTGCTTGTTCACACATGCACCTCACAGCGGGAGACTATCCCTATGGAACGGGACGAGGTGGGTCTCAGGAGGCAAGACAAGAAGTGGTGGATGAAGCAACAGAGTCAGATGTCGTCATGATCATTTTTGCCTAGATACCAACGCTATATGTAGTTCAAAACATGTTGCATTACATCAGCGGAGATTGCACCAGACCGTACATACAGTCTATTCAGTCGTTTCCTGAGTATTTCCTGCTGCGCTGTCGTGTCAGCTCACCTTGAGTTCACATAGACAATTTACTAAAGGAGTAAACCAAAGTGTAAACTCAAAGTGAAATATTTTTCGGGGTTTGTTGCTCCTGAAAATTTCAGGAAGCTTTCTGGAGTTTTGTGAAACACTGATCACAATCACATAAATATTGCACTTCGTAAAGCACTTTGTAACCTTTTTTAGATAAGTGCTATACAAATAAAGTTATTATAATTATAAATATAAATGCAATTATGCAAATAAAATGAATATTTGAATCTCAATCTGCAGTATGGGAGCTCTAGGTTTCAAGTTTCTGCATTGCTGTTGTCAAATTGTTGTCAAAGTTTCATGATGGATACTGTATATTGTACTTAAAGTTAAATTAGAAGTAAATTTTTTTTTTTTTTTAATTCATTAAAATGTCACAGCTCTCGGGGTGTAGATAGCCTAGCGTCTATGTATGGAGACTATAGTCCTCGTCCCAGCAGTTGTGGGTTTGAGTATTTCTGCCTGTATTTTACAAAAGGGACCAGAGTAAGAGTAAGTCTGTACATGTTATGTCACATACACTTGTTTAATTTTAATGCACATTCAGAAATTCAGTTTGTATTTGTAAACTAATTAAATATTTAAGTCTGTGGCAATACAAAGCTGTGTAAAGCAACTTTGGATGAACATGTAAGTGTTAGCTGGAGTTTAAATGTATCCAAAGGACCCAAGACCAGGATGTTGTTTTGTAACACACGTGTACAATATCAGAGCCAAACATTCTGCACATTAAGTCATTGTGGTTGCTTTGTGTGACAGGTGGATAATAGGCTAGTTCAGTGAAATGTAAACTTGTTGTTGATATGTTATAACTTATTAGCAGGTTTTTTCGGTGCTCCACTGTACCTTGTTTTTGAGCTCATACAGTGTTTGTCAAACGTCTCTGTATGTTGTGGCCAATACAAAGGAGTCAGAATTGTTCTTGGCTTTCCAGTCACAGAAGACAGAGAGGCATATAAATGAGTTAAATATGTGTTGTTCGGGCCGCTGGTGGTACAGTGGTTAGTGTCGTCTCAAGCGGGCGGCCCGGGTTCGCTTCCCACCTGTGGCTCCTTTCCCGCATGTCATTCCCCACTCTCTCTCTCCCTGATTTCCGACTCTATCCATTGTCCTATCTCTCCATTAAAGGCACAAAAAAGCACAAAAATAAATCTTAGAAAAAAAAAAATATATATATGTGTGTTGTTCACTCAAAGCTGGCTCTCTACGAAACGTGTCAAAAGAAAACCCTCTTTCCTTCAGATGAACAGACGGCTGAATTTGATGACCTCTTTAAATGAAATACAAATCAGTGTATCCTCTATTGGTGTTGCCTTATGGGTAATAAGTTAAAAAGCGTTGATGCCTCCAAAGCTCAGACACCCACCTCCAAAATAAAGTGTGCTTTGCTTATTGTTTCATCATTTGCAAGTTTAAACTTCTCTCTGGAGAAATATTTGAGTGTACGGTTTGAAAATACAAGGCTTATGTAACTTTACTGGCTTAAAAAGGAAGGTAATTTGAGCTTACCTTTGACCTGTGTTGACAGTAACAAATATTGTGACATAACAACTAGACAAATAAGAAAACTGCTTTGTAGAATTTTGACACTTCCAGCCCACATACAGCATAATGAGATTCAATTCAATTCAATTTATTTTGTATAGCGTCAACTCATAACAAGTGTTACCTCAAGACACTTTACAGAAAGCAGGTAAAATACCTTACTCTTTGTCTGTTAACATTACAAAAGAGCAGGTAAAAAGACCTTACTCACTGTTATGTTACAAAAAGCAGGTAAAAGACCTTACTTATTGCTATATTACAAAGACCCGGCCTATCCATCAAGCAGTAAAAGTTACAGTGGTAAGAAAAAACTGCCTGCAGAAATCTTCGGCCGGATCCCCGGCTCATGACGAAACAGCCTTCACAGGCTTCATACTTTTGTTCTGGCAGGCCGTCAACCAACGATCTTGAGGAGCCTAAGAGAGCTCAAGAGCTCTCAGGAAAGTAGGTGGTTAGTGACTGAGATTTACAGATAGATACATGCAGAAATATGATGTACTGTATATGCACAGAGAGAGAGAGAGAGTGAGAGAGAGAGAGAGAGAGAGAGAGAGAGAGAGAGAGAGAGAGAGAGAGAGGAGCTCAAGGTGCCAGTTTCCCCGGTAGTCTAAGCCTATAGCAGCATAACTAAGAGCTGGTCTACACCAGCACTAACTATAAGATTTATCAAAAAGGAAAGTTTTAAGTCTATTCTTAAAAATACAGACTGTGTCTGCCTCCCGGAACCTGGCTGGAAGGCGGTTCCAGAGGAAAGGAGCCCGATAACTGAAGGCTTTACCCCCCATAGTACACTTGGAGACTGTAGGTACCACCAGCAGGCCTACACTCCGGGACCGCATCGCTCTCGAGGGACAGTACGGCACTAGTAGCTCCTTCAGGTAGGATGGTGCCTGGCCATTTAGCGCTTTGTAGGTGAGAAGAAGGATCTTGAATTCTATTCTAGACTGTATAGGGAGCCAATGCAGAGAAGCCAGGACAGGAGTGATGTGGTCCCATTTCCTGGTTCTGGTCAGTACACGAGCTGCAGCGTTCTGGACCAGTTGAAGAATCTTTAGAGATTTGCCAGAGCACCCTGACTAAAGAGAGTTACAATAATCCAGTCTGGAGGTAACAAATGCATGAACTAGTTTTTCTGCATCATTTTGCGACAGGATATTCCTAATCTTTGGATATATTACGGAGGTGAAAATAGGCTGTTCTTGAAACTTGACTGATGTGAGAGCTAAAAGACATATCTTGATCAAAAAGAACTCCTAGATTCCTAACAGTGGTGCTAGATGCCAGGCTGATGTCACTAAGGACAGTCAAATCACTAGAAAAAGTCTCTCTGAGGTTCTTAGGGCCTAGCACAATAACTTCAGTCTTGTCTGAGTTAAGTAGCAAAAAATGTCTGGTCATCCAGGTCCTAACGTCCTTAAGGCACGTTTCTAGCTGACATAACTGACTGGTGCCATCGGGCTTCATTGATACATAAAGCTGAGTATCATCTGCATAACAATGAAACTGTATGGAGTGTTTCCTCATATTTCCCAGAGGAAGCATACATAATGTAAAGAGAATTGGTCCAAGCACTGAACCTTGTGGGACTCCATGGCAAACTTTAGTGTGCATAGAGGACTCATCATTAACATGTACAAACTGAGATCGGTCTGATAAGTAGGATTCAAACCAACTTAAAGCAGTCCCTGCAATTCCAAGCAAATGCTCCAGTCTGTACAACAGGATCCGATAGTCAATGGTGTCAAAAGCAGCACTAAGATCTAACAGGACGAGCACAGACAGAAGTCCCCTGTCTGAGGCTAGAAGTAGATTGTTTGTAACTCTAACTAGTGCAGTCTCAGTGCTATGGTGGCCTTTAAATCCTGACTGAAATAAAATAAACTGTTGTCAAGGAGAAAGTCACACAGCTGTTTAGCTACCACTTTCTCCAGGATCTTCGAGAAAAAAATGAAGGTTGGATATAGGCCTGTAGTTAGCCAGAGTTCCTGAGTCCAGAGTAGGCTTTTTAAGTAGAGGTTTGATTACCGCTACTTTAAATGCCTGGGGTACATAGCCTGCCAGTACAGACGAATTGATCATATCTAATATAGAGTTGCTAACTAAGGGAAAAACTTCCTTAAACAGCTTGGTTGGGATTGGGTCCAAAAGACAGGTTGACGGTTTCAACACAGAAAAAATGGGATATAGCTCTGAAAGGTTGATTGGAGAAAAACAGTCGAGACTAATATCTGGTCCTGGAACTGTCTCTGCCGTATCAGACGTATCTGCACCAGGTAAGGGCAGGAGGTTACCAATTTTGTCTCTGATGTCTAAAACTTTGTTGTTGAAAAAACTCAGGAAGTCATTACTGCTGAGGGCTAGAGGAATACAAGGCTCAATGGAGCCATGACTCTCTGTCAGCCTGGCTACAGTGCTGAAAAGGTATCTAGGATTGCCTTTGTTTTCCTCAATTAGAGAGGAGTAGTAGGCAGCTCGGGCGTGACGTAGAGCCTTCATATATCTTCTATGACTATCCTGCCAGAAAAAACGAGATTCTACCGTTTTGGTCGAGCGCCATATTCTTTCAAAAGAAGATTGTTTTAGAGTACGGGTTTCTGAGTTGAACCATGGAGCCACTCTCCGCCGCTTGACAACCTTCTGTTTCAGGGGAGCAATCGAATCCAGAGTAACTCTCAGCGAATCCACTGCACTATCAACAAACTGATCTAGCTGAGAGGGACTAAAGCTATCATAAGAGTTTCCAACTGGGTTGAAACACGGTACTGAATCAAAAACAGCTGAAATAGCTTCCTTAAATCTAGCCACAGCACTATCAGACAAACTTCTAGAGAGCACACCTCTTCCAAGCAGAGGTAATTCTGGTTGGACAAAATCGAATGTAATAAAAAAATGGTCTGATAGAAGAGGATTTTCTAGGAAAACTGTAAGGTTATGGATTTCAATTCCATAAGCTAAAACAAGATCCAGGGTGTGGTTAAAACGATGAGTAGGTTCGTTTACACCCTGGGTGAAACCAATAGAGTCTAATAGTGACATGAAAGCTGTGCTCAGGCTATCATTATCAACATCCAGATTAGACTTTCCATTTCTATTAAATTGTTACAAATGACTCAGTGACAAGAAGTTGATGTGATCTCTTTCATGTACATGTAGAAGTGTTTTATGACCTTTTAAAAGTTAAACATCATTGTGAGTTTTTGCCGTGGAAAATGTAGAAAAAGGGGTATTTCTTTAGTGTGCTGTCAGACGATCACTAGCATTATTAACAACTAGATAGTAATCATAAATCTTCTTGCTAATGGTGTTGTTTGAAATTCATAATGAATATTCAGTATTAATTAAAGCTTGTTTCATAACCAGTAGCTTTAAAGGAGCAATCGGCAACAAAACATTGAAGAGCCCCCTCCTCTCTAGAGTCGATGCAGACGCAGGTTGCCATGTCTCTGACACTGAAGCTTCAGTGTTTATCCAGCTCTGCTCTCTTGAAACCTTTCTGTGTTCTAACCTCTCTCCATTTTTAAAAATAAGCATCTCCAATATGTATCCTATTTTTACCACGTTTCTGTTCTTGGAGCTTATTAGAAACATGTTTAAGGTCGGGTAAAATGAGTTCTATCTGAACCGTTTCTATCGCTTGAATATCATTTGGTTTACCGTTTCCCTGACAAGCTGAGGGGTGTCTAGAATGGCTGTTTGGGGGTGACTTGACACAGTCAAAAAAGGATATACCTCCAAACACATACCTGAATCTAATTACCTGGAGCCTTAGATTAGCCTAAGCTAAGACTCCTCCCAGTGTACAGTTTCAGTATTACACTCAAAATTGCAAATTCACAGTGTTGTTTTGGGTTTTCTGAAAATGTCAAATAAAAGAAGCTTTTTGGCTCCAACATTTGATTAAGTCTGATAAGGTAGCACAAAGAACAATGTTTATTGTTATTAACAATATTTTACAGTTATTTCAAACATGTTTTGACCTTTCTTTGATTGCTAATCATGGAAAGCACTAAATTCAAATTGTTGTCTTTGAATTCCTATTGCCTTCAGCCAAACAATCTGAATCAAGTATTTTCATTGCCAAAGTTATTCTTCTGAGATTTCCCCTGGAGTGTGTTTTTATGATACTGTTGGCCTCTAAATTCAACATTCAGTGTGCTTCCCATGGATGATTCAACAGCTTCACTGCCTCTATCAAGTTGTTGCATAGTCCTTAAGGGGGGAATTTAATGATTTTCCATCAGATGTGTATCACTATTTCTCTGGCTATGTAGGGGTGGACTAAAAAAATGTTTCATCTGTCTTCTGCACAGAAAGTCTAGTTTTATCTTCCCAATGGAAAATGTCCCCTTTAACCTTTGTTACATATAGAACTGATCTAACAGGCCTGGGAGAAGAGCTTGCTGAAGAGTGTTATCCTCTGGGCATTGGCCTATTTTGTGCCATGGGGAGCCACCACCTGATGGAGCTGCTGCCCAATGTGCCTACCACATGTACTACTAGTTAAATAGGCCAGGTGTCCTGTAGCTATGGGGAAGACGAAGGGAGGGACTAGGGGGCCAAAGAATAGCAGATCATCACCTCACCTCTGAAGCAGTACCAGCAATTTGATTATGAATTTTGAATTTTTTATACTTTATTAATTCTGGTTTTACTCTCTGTTATTTGTAACTTCTCACACACATAGGCCCTAATCACACACATGCACAAACACAACCTATGTACATGCCTTAATGGAAAGATGTCAGAGTGGGGCTGCTACACACTGCTATGCAGGGAGCCTGCGGGAGCGGTTGGGTGCCTTGCTCAAGAGCACATCGGCAGTACTCGATGCCCTGGCACCTCTCCAGCTACCAGACCAACTTCCATATTATGGTCCGCACTGGGACTTGAACCTGCGACCCTTCCGGTACCCAACCCAAGTCCCTACGGACTGAGCTACTGCCGCCCCCAAGTTCAAAAAGGATTAATCTTTTAAATATAGCACTAGGTCTAATGCCAAACTTCTTGACTGAGTGCACTCTTTACTGTGGTTTCCTTTTGCAACAGTGAAGCATCCTGGGAAATTGAGGGAACATTTCCATCCTAACAGAGCCGGAGGGCTGCTTTGAAATATGACACATGTGCTTTTTATAGACTAGCTGTAACAAACATATTACAAGATGTCTTAGACCCTCTGGAAACCCTCAACACATCATCCTCTGCTGATGAGTCAGATCATATGGCGGGGGAACTAGGAATGAGTTTCTCATCAATCAAAAGGGAGCTTATCTTAGGGACATATATTCAGAGTGGTTCTGATACATTTTAGTGTCACAGCTTCTGCAGGAGAACATTTCTTGCCTGAAGCCATACGTCTACAATTGTATGTTCAATTTCACCTAGGATAGATGATTTTCCTGAATCATCTATCTATAGTGATCTGGTGTGGGGAGATTTGGACTCCTGCAAACAGTAGTTGGTCCTTTGGGTAGGTTGTGATAGTCCAAGTCCAGTTATAATCAGAGCTTTTTGCTAGGCCTTTAACTATTGACTCAAATGTTACTGAAAAAACATCTTAACATAATGAACAACCTTTTGTGCCTGCAGGTCAAAGGCTACCGTTACCTGGAAGAGGACAACTCAGACGAGTCTGACTCTGACAAGAGTGAGGAGGATGAGGACAGGGGGAGTTTTGCAGGGGAGATGGGAGCAGATGACAGGGAGGAAGGAGACCAAGAAGTGGGGGCCCCCAGGGCTGACTCACCAGGAGCAAGGAGGAGAATGGCTGGGGGTCAGCGACCCAGAGAGGAGGACGCCAATGTGCAGTAGGAAGAGGGGAAAGAGCGTCATGGAGGGTAAGCGTGGAGAAAAAAGGAGCAGAATCAGAGGACATGTCTGTCAGATATCATACAGAAGAGGAAGTTAATGCTGTTGTGTTTCTGTCCCCTCCTATTCTCACAGATATTTATACACATATATGAATCTTACATATTTTACCCATCAAAGCTTTTTTACCTTTTTAATAATCATCATAACTGTGATCCAGAAGAAGGGGTAAAAAACGAAACATTATATTGCATTTCAAACAACAGGTATGACAATCTTAGAAGCACATTTTGGATAAAACAAGCTTAGAACTTGCAAAACAAACCAAAAAGTTTGTTCTGCAGTTTGTGGCTCAATAATTGAATGTCTTATAATAACTAGTAGTTGTTGTTGTTGGGCTTTGCTAAGAAGGGAACATATTCTGTAACACTTTGGTATTGATTTTTAAAAGTAGAATTTATCAGACATGAAAGAACTGAAAGAGACGGAGCACAAATTAGTCATTGATTTTCTGAATCCTCCTCAGGGTGACATTGTTTGAATGGAGTTGTTTTTAGAGAGTCCTGTTCAATGTGAACAGGATGAACAGACACGCACTTTTCACTTTAATGTCTTTATTTACCTTCAAATCTACACTTGTGGATATGCTATCAATAGCATTTTCAAACCTTTTCTAACCTGGTGTCTTACAATGAGATTAAGATCTAGTCCTTGATATGATACAGTACTCTCTAAAGAAAACCCACTGTGTAGCTTGATGTATCTCTTTGGAAGAGTAACACATGCTTTTTACAGAAAATATAAATAATATGAATGTATGTCAATATGCATAGCTCATAGTGCAACAGGTACGGGCGGTCAGTCAAGTTCAATGCTAGTGAGGTTTGCAATTTGAAAACATTTGCCACACGAATCTGAATATGTGAATTGTCTCAATAGTGAACATGCTAATGTTAGCATGCTAACATGCTCAAAGTAACAATGTTTATATTTTGGGCTAAAATGTATACCTTGCTAATGTAGCGTGATAGCAAGCTAAAGGAAAAGCAAATTTTTCACAGTAAGCGAAAACAGCCATGGCTGATAAGGATGCATTTTTCAGATATTTACTTATAAACCAAAGGTGTGGATGAATTTAAATTGTAACCCTTATAAGAAAGAAAAAGGGGAAGGTTTCTAGAAATTCAGGGGATCACCTTATTAATGTATATATTTTGACAAGAAAATGAAAGTTTGTACAGAATTAGCGGGGAAGCCATCTGAGGGCTGATTAAACATTTCACTTAAATATCCTGAAAAAAAGAAGGAAGCACCAAAGTGTTTATGATTCATCACCCAGGGACCATGAATGTTTGGACAACATGTAATGCTAATGAATTTATCCCATTAGTAATTTATGATACTTCTGTACAGATGTATAAAGTTGTTCTGCTAGAGGGGTCACCAAAAACTGTGTTTTTTAGCCAAAAGCTGGTACAGATAATGATGCATAAAAGGAACTATGCCAGTCAGTGTCCACATGCCCATCAAAAGAAGCATTGTGACATTTTACTGATAATTTAATTGTTTAATTGAATTGAGAGACTTTCCTGCTTTAATGCACACTGGCTCACTGTCGCCACATTGTCATTGCTGACTGGGACACTCATACACATTAGTCCATCATAAATGTTGTTAGTACCTGTATATGACAAGTGAAAATGTCAATAGTAAAGGGTTTATAAGGTCTTTAGATACCAGCTATTGGATCAATTATAGGGAAAAGAGGAAGGGGGTTTGGGGTCTGCAAAAAAGGTTCAGTTGTTTAATGTACTGAACTCGAATGTTTTTCTTTTTGTTACTGGCAATTTTCTGAAAAAAGTCACCTTCCTGGAAATAACCAGACTTCAGCACACTTTTTTAGTTTGTTGGTTTAATTGGTTTGATTCTTTCATTCTGCCGGTTAGACGACAGGTGAAATGTATACAGGTACTGTCCCTGACACGAGGGTAAGGGTTAGTTCACCTGTAGTTTATTCTGTCAAAGTATAAACAGAAGAATCTTAGTTAAACTTGCTATTAGAAATAGGTCTAAGTTCTCTAGTGGACATAATGCATTCCATTTTTGCAATGAAAATACATTTTCAGTAAACTGATGCAAAAGCTAGTGGATGTTACACTGATTTTTTGTAAAATGAAACTTTGTTCTTCTGTCTTGAAGAAACACATTAAACACAATGTTGTTTTGAAGAGCTTCAGTCTGTGATTGTGTCTTTGACTAGTGGGTGGTGAAATCTCAAAGTCACCTAAATATGAAAAAGTCACCTTTGTATTAAATCATAAGTGACAGCCAAACACTTATTGCCATGGAAACTGTAAAGCACTTGAGAGAAATGCAAAATTGCTAAATAAATGGTAAATGGACTTAAACGTGTACAACACTTTTGTAGTCTTCTTCCTACTCAATGTGCTTTTTACATGGCAGGTCACACCCATCACTCCACTGATGGCAGAGGCTGCTGTGTGCCCATCAGTAATGACTAATCACATTCACATGCTGACAACAAAGGGTCACATTGAGATGTGGCTGCAGGAGCTGTGGATCAAACCCTACCCTCTGGTTGACAGATGACCGACTCTACCACTGAGCCACAGCTGCAGCTGTTACAAAGTACATTTCCATACACACACATTTAAACAAAGACTGTGTTAAAGCAGACTAAGGGATTAGAAATACTACCTTCTTTAGCATCAAATTGTAATTCTTTTTTAATGAAAATTTATTTTGGGTTTTTTTTACTGTAGAGACAGGACAGTGGATAGAAAAGGAAATCAGGGACAGAGAGAGTGGGGAATGACATGCGGGAGGGGAGGCAAAGGCTGCTTGCTTCGATGACTGCAGCCTATGTACATTGGGCCCCCGAGGTTCTAGGTGTTAGCCAATTAAAAAGTGAATTGACTGTCAAACTGTATAACTGTATGTTCAATCTGTTTTGCATTTTAAACATTGTTTTGTTGGTTTCTGCTGGAATCCTGAGACTCTCAGTAAAAACAGACCTTGGACTATAAAACCATTTAAATCCTGACATTGTAGCTGCTCTTTGTGTTTAGGGACAGCTGCATATGTTCACTCACACAGTAATATCTCAGAGCTTCTTGGGTTCTCAATCTTCACTTTATTTCACTTTGACTGAGACAAAATGAGTTTGAACAGAAATCTGACTATGAGCTGGGATAAGGAGGTAGATGCTACATCACATAGTTTGATGTTGTAGTTTTTGTTTTTGGCCCTGACAGATGATGCCTCATCCTGGATGATGTGGCTCATTTTCAGGCACCCTAAGTACAGCATCAAGGTATCAGCCTGAGCCATTTCAGTTAGCAGAGCTGTTTCTCTCAGTGCCTGATGCGTCTGATGGACTGGATCTTTGGAGTCTGGCAGTGGGAACCCCAGGTCTTCCAGTGCTGGTAGTCTCCACTATGTCTTTCACTCTCCATGATGTACTGCTGGCCTCTGTAGCCCGGGTACTCATAGCACACAAATCTAAAGAAAGGCATGATGATGCAAAGTTAGTAAATGTTGAGTTATATTTTCTTAAGTTGTATAAAAGTTCATTAAGCAAATTAGTCCAGTGATGCTGGATTTTTTATATTCTTTAGTACTAATATTTATAAAGTAAATAGTATGATAATAATACTCTCAGTTTTCTTGGGCCACAAACTACATGGGGAGGTTTCAATCTGTGACAGGAAACCAAAGGCTCTATATTAAATGCATGATTCTCTGTAAAAGAATTGTAAAAAAACATATATATATGTTAAAAATTGTGTTATTTTGAGCACCCAAAGACTGAATTAATATTCCATATTTACATTTCATTCATTTTATAGAAATGTCTAAAATATCAAACCAGTGGCACTTTGAGCGCTGCTCCTTGAACTGCTCAAGAGAAACTCATTACAAGACAGATAATCATTTAGATTTGAAGTTGGTTTCGAGCCATAGAAAATCGTGGTCAAGTGTAATGTGATTATCATGCCATGAAATGCAATCTAAGAGTTTATATTTTCAGCATCTTGGTAGAGTACAGGGATGTACAGATGTGTTATAACTTCTGCAGTTATTCTGTCCCAAAGCACAAAAACACACAAACAAGGATTTGCATGACTTAACATTTTGAATACTTTTGTTAAAAAAACAGTGGAACAAATGTAATAGTGCTCAGAGAGCGTCTGTGTAATGTGTGAGAAATATGAAGTCATTTCTGTTCTCAGTTTTGTATTTTAATGTTCTTGATTCAAACTTCTATGACTGTGTTGCGATTGTTTTTTTCCACTGAATGTGAAGCACGGTGTGTCGCCGTGTGTATGAAACGTGCTGTTTAAATAGTGAAACAAAGCTGATATAAGGTCCCCATGTGCTTATTTAGTCAGCCTGCGAACACGAGCTATTTCAGACATAATGGGTAGAGTCACCAGCATTCACTCTGCACACATTTGGTTTTGAATATTTCAATGAATGAGTGTGATCCAGTTTTTTGAGAATGACGTTAAACAAGAGTCTTGTTGTTTGGCAGCTTTAGGACTATTCAAAGCTGAGCTAGTGCGTTTGAGTTAAAAGGACAGGAATTGAATTATAACACTTTAACAGCACAGATTATAAAAGAGATAAAGCAGGAAGACACTGAAGGAAAAGTGAATGTGCTTTCACGTGTGTCAATGACGGATACAGTTGCTAAGGATGTGATCTGCCTTCTAAATGATTGAATAATGGATGTCATAACTAGTACTTTTATTCTCCTTCATACTTGTTAACATAGTTTTCTCCTCTACTATGTTCTCTGCGGTAAAAACATGTTTTACATGTGAACCTTGAACAGGGGGGGCACATGTGTGTGTGAGATCACCTGGATGGATGTGTTTCCACCTGCAGGCTGAATAAAGGTGGTGTTCATTATAGTTAACACATCCCTCCCTCTATTGCTTCCTTTTCCTGTTAAAGGCCCACTGAAAACTCTTTATTATTAAATGTTATAATTCCGCTTGAACTTGAACGCTGACTTACGCTCCACACTGCACGTGCATGGAGCCCACCTCGGGCTTGATCCAGCCCATGGCCACCAGGGAGGGGTAGTCGTCACACAGCTCTGTACTGCGGCCAATGAAGTTCTCTTTCTCAAAGATCTTCATGCGGCTATTATTGTGAGACTGTGGACAAAGGCAAGAGAGGGTTAGTGTTAAAGGTTAGATGGTAAGTAGTAATTCAGCACTGAGTTTTCACATTTCAAGTTTATAGCTGTTTCAGTCACTCAAGGTGCAGCTTGTTCCTCTAATCCAGGGATTCTCGAGCTGTTCACACTGCAGGTCACCCCTAGCCGTTCTCACACTGATGGCAGAGGCTGCTATACAAAGTGTCCATCAGTCTGAACTAATCCATTAACACACATGATGCAGAAGCAGGAGCCATTTGGAGCTAAATGTCTTGCCCAAGGACATGTCAGACATAAAGCAGCTGGAGCTGGGTATTGAACCCCCAACCTTCTGGTACAGAGACGACTGACTCTACCTCTGAGCCTCAGCCTCCTCTGCAGGTACTCACAGCACAGTGTATGGGCCGAAGGGACATGAAGCGCTCGATGTGGTAAGACAGGGAGCCACTGCAGGCTTCCCAGTTTGGGTACTCGCCCCTCTCCAGAATGAACTGCTGCCCTTGGAAGTCATGATGCTCGAAACCCACCCAACTGGAAACATGAGTGGAAGAGATGAAACAGTCAGTCAGGTGAGTCAAAATAGTAAATGTTTTCCAGTTTTCTCCCTCTAATGATCACAGGAAACAATGCACAAATAAAACAACGCACTACATGAATAATTCATTCGAGTCAACACCCAGTTTGTAATATTAAAGAAAACTGCAATTGTAAGATTTATAGCTCAGAAGCTCAGTAATTTGTTAAAACACATTTTAATTTAATTATTTGTTGCCTTTTCCATAAATGTTTTTTTTAATTTGTTAGTTTTCTCTCTAGTTGTCACTAAGGGCTCGCTGTGTCAGAGTCATAGTGATGAAAAAATCATGTTTTACACGTTTACAGTGAAATACATCCTCTGGGGTAGGCTGTTTGTAAAGGGTGACTTTAATAAGTGCTGCTGCTGTCACTGTAGTACTTTACCTGGATTTTTTTTTGTGGCTGTGCATAACATCATCTACTGTAGCTGATGAAGTCCTCATACAAACCCACTTTAAAAACAAACAAACTATGTTTAAGGTTTATATTTAAAATAGCATCTTTGCTTGAGGTGTATGTAGTCATGAATATTTAATATTGTGAAGAAAAATGAAGTTTTTGGAAAATCTTATATGAAAGTAACACAATTGAAATTTGACTAGATCATAAAGAAAGAATAGTAAAAATAAATGAACGTATAAGATATAAAGTTCTTAGACGAGTTTAACAGTCTAACACTTTTCCACATCATTTTATCAAAGGGATGATATCACCCATGCAACCTTCAATTATCCGCTTCTGACCAAAAAGAATTGCTCTCCACAGAGGAGGAACGTGTGTCAGTTTTGCCTCCGCAAATGGAAACTCTGGCAGAGTAAAGGGCTTCAGATTAGTTAAACGACCCTGTTAGCTCCTCAGGTGATCGGGATGAAGTATTCATTTCAAAATGGAAGCTGTGGCGACCTCACCACCACGGTGTACGCTGAGTGCACCTTACACAGGGTCACCCACTTTATAGAGGGAGGATGGACATTACTCCCTCTCTCAATATCTCCTCCATCTCACAGACACACACTTAATAAACACCAAGACACAAAAGGTCAGTCAACTGTCCACAGAAGCTTGCAGGCGTACAGGTTTTTGTGACTCACGCTCCACTCTCCACTCGGATGGAGCGAATGTTGTCCAAGCTGCAGTCGTGGATGTTGCAGCACTCAGATGTGAACTCCTTACACTTTCCCTGAAAATGCTCCTGCTCAAACACAGTCACCTGCACACAGAGGAGGAGAGGGGGAGGCGTGAGGGTGTGTGTTGAATGTGTACTGGACACATCTATGTTTATGCAGAATGCGCGCGTGTGTGTAATTGTGCGTATGTGAAAATTCACCTTAAAAAAAGGGGCTGTACCCTTACTAGGCAAGTACATGATGGGGGAGGTCGTGTGGGGTTTTAGTGACTTGACACGTTTCTTAAGTGAACTAAAAACAAGGAAAACAAATTAAGTGAAACAGAGAAAGGGTTCAACTGTAAAATGTGAAATAAAAGCCTTTACATTTTTTGTGGCAAACAAAACTCCCATTAAACGAAATGAAAATGAAGCATGTAAACAACTTAGAACATTTCTTTGTAAATTGACAACTCTCTTAGAAAACTAAATGAAGCACTTCATATTCGGCCTAAATCAACCTATCGGAACGTTATCAGACATTTCTCCAGCTCCTGCTTACCTGGATGTTTTTTTCCCACCTTGCGTTCCCAACGAACCAAATCCTCTATGGGCCTCTATGTAAACTTTGGTCTTCACCTGGTACCTGCTACTTCTGTTTTATACCGCCGTTCACGTCAAGCTCTTTTGCACATGCGTGTTGCCACTGTGAATGTCGAGGCAAGTTTGTCAAATGTAAAGCTACCTCCAAGTTAGGATGATTTTTCCGGTCAGTCTTTCAAATTAAGCTCCAGTAAAAAAAAAATATATATATATATATATATATATATTTTTTTTTTTATTGAAGTGATAAAAATAAGCACTCAAATCGGACGTTTCGGGGCTGATACAAGCTATGCCTACTTTTCTGACCGTTTATAAGAATAGACCCAAACATAAACTAATAAATCAAGAAAATTACAGCATACAGTACATTTTGGTAAAAGGTGGGTGAGCATTCATCGATGTTAGGCCCTGTAGTGATTTATTGATACTAATAATAAAAGCCTATTGACTGGCAGCCGTTTTTTTATTTTGAAGGGAGGAAGTAGATGGGTTCTGGTGTTTGTGGTGAAAAGTGTACTTCACACTCACTCCTCTCCGTGCCTTTTTGTGTGCGTCAAAAACGCGCACAATAAACACGTGCCAGTTTGCCTGTCTCCCCAGTCGCGCCTGTCGCGCCCTCTCTCTCTCTCTTTGTGACCCTGTGCAGCTTGTCGACTCAGCACATCATATACAGCGCAGCCACAGAGGTAATGGTTAGGAATGTGGAGCTGTTGTTAGCCTATTCGTATAGGTCAGCAGTGCCATCGTATAGACCAACAATGAGCGGGGCTATAGGTAGAGAATGAGGAGGATTTGGAGAGCCATCCGGGGCGCCCGTTTTAATATCAACTCCCAAAGGTCGAAGAAATAAGGACAGAGGAATTCAATTCATAATGACAGCCATTAATATTTTCTATCTAGATGGAAAAACATTGCAGGAGAATATGATTAGATTAACAGTTCCTTTATAAATGTAAGAAAAAACCCTGAAAAGGAATAACATCCCATGACGATAAGCATATTTAAGTGTTGAACTCACTTCAGGTTGGTCCCACAATATGCAATTGTATAGGCCTGGCCTACAATAATGCAACAGTGATGGAGAACAAAAGAGCAGGATAACAGTAAATAGTTCTGGAATAGTATTGTTTATAAGGTAGTATAATGGTATGTAACTGTGAGAGAGTGGAACCAATGGTGCAGGAAAGCCTGCAGTGCAGTAGTATTCATTCAACCTATCAGTGAATAGAAGGGATTTATAACTTATATTACTAATGTAATGTAATCTTTAAGAATTAGACAATAAAATAGTCTCATCTTTGTCCTTGAGCAAATGTGGGATCGAGTAAGCATTCGTTGCTGTGATGTTTTAATTTGACGCTCCTTCGTCCATTACTTGGATGATGGACCGCAGTTGCCTAGTAACATCCCTCATCCCCCCCACCCCATCAGATCCTTGGCCCTTGACATTTCATGAAGAGTCCTTATGAGAAGGTTCCCATCAAGTTCTCTTGTACATGTTCACAGTCATATAGACAGAAGAACACATGAGGGCAATGGCTGCTCAGAAGACACTAAAGTCACCACCAACAACAGAATTTCAGGCTAACAGAATTGAAAGGGAGTCATCAAGAAGGCCCTATACAAGTCATATAAATAAACTAACTTTTGCTCAGTTAGTGTGATGTGGTTTTGTATTAAAGATAAGATAAGATAAAACTATTCATTTATCAACAAAATATTGCAGATGATATCTAAGGACTGCATATGGAATTTAAAATTCTGATGCAAACACAATATACTGCTGTATATTTTTGGATGATGAAAAGAGTATATTAAATTAGAAGGTGTATATCTATACTTGCTGATACAATAATGATGTTCCATGTATTTGTCCAGGAGCCTTTTCAGATTCATTAAAGCAAATACAAAAAAAAAATGTATTGGCTGTATCTCATCTTTCTCATCAGATCTACTGCAGCATCTTTATACTCCAGATGAGCATATGCAGTCTCTGTAGTCTGGGCTGATATACATTTGTATTTAACACTATAGTCTTAAACCATGCTGTCCAAGAATATTTTTGCAGGATTAGTCTTTTTCTTTGCTTTATACATTTTATAATGCGGTGCAAAAAAACGTGATTCCATAACAATGAGTTATCCCAAGATAACATGTTGTTATGAATTGGCGCAATAGAAATAATTATTTATTGATTTATTGATAATTAGCTCTCCCTCAGGTGACTAGTGTTCTTCTTTTTTTTTTTGGAAAGTCCCCAAACAAATCTTTTGTTTGCATGTTTCTTGTTTACTGATTTTTAAATACTTCTTGTGTTATTTGGGTCTACCCTCATGGTCACCTGGGAACGCCTCGTTGCTGGGGAGAGAGAGCTCTGGGTTGACTGCTTGCTGACACCGTGACTCGACCTTGGATAAGTGGAAGAAAATGGATGGATGGATGGATAGATGGATGGATGGATGGATGGATGGATAGATGGATGGATGGATGGATGGATGGATGAATGGATGGATGGGTGGATGGATAGACGGATGGATGGATGGATAGATGGATGGATGGATGATGGATGGATGGATGATGGATGGATAGATGGATGGATGGATGGATGGATGTTTGGATGGATGGATGAATGAATGGATGGGTGGATGGATAGATGGATGGATGGATGTATGGATGGATAGATGGATGGATGGGTGGATGGATAGATGGATGGATGGATGGATAGATGGATGGATGGATGTTTGGATGGATGGATGAATGAATGGATGGGTGGATGGATAGATGGAAGGATAGATGATGGATGGATGGATGGTTGGATGGATGGCACTTGTGTTATTTCTGTCATGTCTTTCAGGGCCTATTTATATTTTCCTCCTTGTAAATGTTTTTCATCATCAATGTGTATTTGCTTTTAAACATCATAATGCTTCTATTTAAGCATTTGTATCCCGAGAAGCTTTTCATGTAGATAAAGTAAACACATTAAAAACACTAATCCAACTGTTCTTTGGAATTGCAGACTCTGAAATGTTCTGCTCTGAGACATGTTTAGTCATGCAGGCTGGTATTCCCCCCTTAATATGTTCATCAAACATTTTCATTCATTTTTAATGCCATAATAAATCCTTAAGCAAGCATAACAAAACTAAAATAAATAAAAGATTCAATCAATGAAAGTGCATCACAGAAAGTTTAAAGGTTAGAAATCAGAATCAGGTCGAGCCCATGCCACTCTCTCTCAAGGACTATGGCCTCTTTACAAAGGGTGCTCACACTAACCATTAAGTAACCAACGCCCCAACAGTTTGTATCATTTGATCCATTGTTCAAATTCCTTTACATTATTATTTGCAAATAATTCTCTCAGTTTGGTTATATTTGTGTCGGTCCAATGTCAGAAGCCAGAATGCAACATTCCTGCTGAAAATTCAAAGTTATTGTTAATTATCGGAGTAAATGTGGAAATTAATTTGGACCTGTCCTCCAAATGGCAGACTGACCACCATGTCAAGAGTCACAATTATCTCTTATATTCTTAGAAAAATCTTCAAGAATAGCATTTCTCATCATTTACAATTTGATAATGATGACTCAATGTCACACCAGATTCAGGAAAATTAACTCTTTACTCATTCAGATATGAACTTCCAGTGAGCACACAGTGGGTAGACTGGCCTCTTGAACCATGGGAAATGAATAAATCCAGGGAGATGAGGGGATGTGTCCAAGAGGTATCCACTTAACTCTCCTTCCCTGTCGGACACTTCCCATCTTTTAATACCTTTCTGTGACTCACTGCGTTGACTGAACATGTCCAGCAGCCGGTTTGAGGGAAGTGTGTGATTCACTCTTTTCACCTTGAGGCTCACTTGAGGATTTGAGGAAATTAAACTTCAGGATCAATGAGGCAGACCATTAAACCCGAGGAATTAATATCCAGGATCTCATCTGGTGAACAGCTGGGACCCTTATATCCTTCCTGTCCTATTTACCACAGGTAAAGCCTTCATGTCACAGAAGATGGGACTTCCCTTGTGAAGCCATGGTTTCCCTTTCGGTCATTTTGAAAGAAGCACCTCATGGACTTTCCTCTTGCAGCTCAACGCCCACCACAATATGTAACTCACCCACGCAAGAAAAGAGGCAGAGGGGTTTTATTTAATAGCTCCCTTCCTCCATGATGCGGAGAGATTCAGATTATTGTCCATACACATACCTAACCTCATTTCACACACAGAGGTGGACCAGCAAGGTAATTGCTTCTCACAGTTTTATTGCTTTCTCTGTTATTGTTTCCCCGCTGCCTCCTAATTAAAGCACTGAAGGGAACAGCGACAGGCTGTTAAATTTGAACCTGGTCAGCCTGGCTGTGTTTATTCAGGCCAGTCAATCAGGCTTAAGTCTGAGAAAAACGTCCTGGAGATAGCTGCAGGCTAAGTGTATACTGGCTAAACTTTCCTTTTATTTTATGGATTCATGCCATGATCAGATGATTCTGAAGTTATTCTATATTTCATTCAGTTTTCTTACTCAATAAATATACTGACTTTCACATCGTCCACCTACCCCTACCATCTCTCTTTCTCTCCACCTCCCTCTCTCTCTTTGATGATGGGGGTATTTCTATTCTGTGGGGGCTGTGAGCTCAGCGAGTTTGTTTCTGTGTCTATAATCCCCCCTCTCTGGGCGCCAGCATATAAAAGCTTCAATGGGCCCGGCGCACTCTTGCACAGAGCACCAGTCTCAGCCCTGAGTCCTACTCCTTTACGCACACACACTGCCACAGGTAAGACAGTGGACACACATCTTTCAGAGTGAGGAAGAAAAGAAAGAAGTGAAACTGGTGTGAAAATGTAGTTTGAGCTCGAGATTGAGAGTCAAACATTGCTTTGACATAACTTATGACTGCTGAAGTTAGGGTGCTATTGTTTCATTTTAACTCAAAATGTTTTTGGCTATCAAACATTTTATATAATCTGAAAAAAATGAATGACTGTAAATAAGATGTACCTCTCTTCATTTAATTTGAACCAGGGGCTTAACCATGGCTATTTATTTACTGAAGAAGGAGATAGTGAAGACTAGAATGTTGTGCATTGAAGTTGGAGCTGCATTGTGTTTTGCTGGGGCCTGCAAACAAACTATTGGGGTGTTGTAGGGAGGTGAGAGAGGCTGATTGTGTTTTAATTTGAAGGACGGATAGTTGAAGCCGTACATCCTTTTGTGTGATTGAGGGAGTGTTTTAATGCTTATGGTTAATTCAGCATATCGATCAGACAAATGTTGTCACAATCCTTAACTAGCTAGCACAAACTCTAAATATTTTTTATATTAAAAAGAAGAACTATGCTAAGGGAAATCATGTAAACTGTGTACAATGTGAGCTCATGATTCAAAAATACAAGGGCTGGAAGAAGAAGGCAAGAGGACACATCTATTGTTATATTATATATTATTTTGTTGATGAACAGCAAAGTAACATTCTCTGTATTTTCTTGCAATGTTAATTTAAATGTGTTAACAGCTTTAAGAATATGTTCATGTGTGTTTATAATGAGAAAATATAATGCAACTGAAAACAGTTTGAACTAAAACACACAGTGTAACTCCTCAATCTGCTCAAATATTTCAATGTGACAGTAAAAGATTTCTCTATTTCTTCTACTTTCAGTAATCATGTCTTCTGGGGGAGATAAATCCAAGTCTGCTTCTCAGACTGACGGGAAGGCGGCTCAGAACAAGATGTCTGAGATGGGCATGATGTCCTACAAGGTACACATCACACACACACACACACACACACACACACACACACACACACACACACACACACACACACACACACACACACACACACACACACACACACACACACACACACACACACACACGTACACCAGATGATCAATCATCTCCAGATATACCATACAGTCTTTTTCACACCATATGAAGCAGCTGGTATCACACTAACAGTTTACCTTCTTAGCTGCTAGCTATTATCGTGACCTCTTGTACCTTATCTCTCAGTGAAGGGGCGGTTTGACACCCACAGCTGACAGAAACATACAATGTTTGAGGCATCAAATTCCTGTTAGGAAAGCTGTCTTAATCAAACAGTCTTTTCATTTTACTGTGCTTCTACCTTTTTTTTTCTCTCTATCCTGCTAATTTGATGAAGTTTCTGACCTCCATCTGCGCCACTTCCTCATGATCTTTTCCTCTCTCCCCAGATGCGCGTGTTTGACCAGGAGAACTTCCAGGGACGCTGCATTGAGATCACTGGGGAGTGTATGAGTGTGTGTGACATGGGAATGGACAAGGTGCGCTCCCTGCGTGTCGACAGCGGCCCGTAAGTAGCCTATGCATTTGAAGCTGCACTTACACACCCACCCAGGTACACGTAATGTATCAAACACACCCACTCGTCTGAGCAGAGAGCAGGGGATTTCAACGAGTGTACCCCACCATTATGTGACATTTTACACTTTGCATTTTAAGCAATGTAGCTGATGCCTTTATCCGAGGTAATTTACAGAGAGTACAGAGGCAGAATTAACTTTAAAACTAATAACAAACAAAGCAGCAAAACTTTTAGAATGAAGTGGAGCAAAAAAACAATGTGGACCAATAAAGGTAAAAATTATGTTAATATATGAGTTTCTAACTGCACATAAAGGAGATTATTCACTAAAGCACCCCTTTATAGTTCTTTTTAGGATTGCTCCACCATGAAGTTGGCAGTCTCACAAGAGACTCAAAATGAAATTAATGGTCAAGACTAAGAGGCTTTGTTGTTTTCACTTTTCCCACAGTCATTGGAGGGCTCGTTTAAAAAGCAATATGATGTTTCGCAATTGAATGTATAACTCATCACCTTTCTTCCATCTCACCCTCGTGACCATTTCTCTCCTCTTCAGTTTCGTGGGCTTCGAGCAGATGAACCTCTGCGGTGAGATGTTCATCCTGGAGAAGGGAGAGTATCCCCGCTGGGACTCCTGGAGCAACTGCCAGAAAAACGACTATCTGCTGTCCTTCAGACCTGTCCGCATGGTATAACCTTCTCATAGGCTTTGACAGCTTATAGCCATGTGTGCGCTACAGTTCTTCATCTTCCTAATTCAATTCTTTTCTTTCCCCACCCCACCTTCTAGGACCCAGAGAAGCACAAAATCTGCCTGTACGAGGTCGGAGAGTTCAAGGGCCGCAAGATGGAGATCATGGACGATGATGTCCCCAGCCTGTTCTCCTACGGTTTCACCGACAGGGTTGGCAGCATCATGGTCGGCTGTGGAACGTGAGTATGGAAGCAACATTTTAGGAGCATTTTTTTTGCTTTCTCTAAAAGACTAAGATGAGAAAAGTAATATCACTATAATGTATGTTGCTTCAGTTAAAATCTGGTTAGCTTAGGAACATAAAGAGTTAGCCTGACAGCCAGCACCTCTATTGGAGGCTTCCGCGCTGCTCGCAGTGATTTGAGTTCATTTTGGCTTTTAAGTTGCTGGTTAGCTAACCTGACTTAGCCTAGCACGCTGGGCTAAGTAAAGTTCAGCCAAGCAGACCAGTTTAAGGTTTTAGCTTCCTGTCACGCACAGTATTTGTAAATTCTGCCGCCATGGGGCTTTCAATCCAAACAATAACAAAAGAGGGCGTCAAGGCTGTCAGGGAATTATGGGAGTGATGCTCTTTGCCCCGCCCCTGATGAGAACTAACACAGACTTGACCGTAGTCAAAAGGAATGGGTGAGACCCACCTGAGGAGGAGAATATGTTTACAGACAAGCTAAAGGTAACAGCAGCACACACAGCAGCAGAACGACAGCTTTAGGTAATTATTCCTGCTTCCTTATGTAGCACTCCTTGACGTAACAACTGGTGTTTCCACGGCAACGATACACATGTTGTATCTAATCATGGTGGCTCTGACAAGACATGTCCTGTTACAACTACAAAATGAAGGATATCTCTAGCTTTCTATGTGTTTGAAATATTTGAGGTAATGTAAGTACTCAACAAAATATATATTTATAACATAGGTTTAGTCATTTTTTTAAATGATATTAGATCATTTAGTGTAAAAATTATTCATAGTGTATCTTTAAACAAGCAAACAGATTTAAAACAGGAGGGATACGTCTCTGCAGGAAGGCACACATGTTTTCCAAAGATTAAAAAAACATCCACTCAAACATTGATTATTGTTTGACTATGGAGCTCAGCTATCTCACATCCCTTCTGTGTTTTCAGCTCCCAATTTTCAAAATATGAAACATGTCCCATGTGTCAGCAGCAAACACTAAACCCTTCCTCTGTAACAAGACGTCCATCTCCATGTGTCGCCACTTATGTCAGACTATCACACCCATCTCTGCCTTGTTTCGTCATTCTCGGAACAAGGCAGCATGATCAACAACGGGTGTTTTTCTGCCAGGCTTTTTCACCAGCAGCTCACAGAGGGTGTCATGAACGTCAGCAGCTTTCTGTCTATTTCTGCGCACAGAGGTGTGGAAAGCATCAGATACTGTTTCTTAACCGCAATGATTACTTCATTTGTGGGGCTCCAGGCTGCCTGAAGCAAACAGCTGGGAGGCCGTCTGCACTGTGGTCTCACACACCGACAACATGACGAACCCGCTGATGTCTTTATTTGTCACATGTTTATCCTACCTGATTGGCCTACAGCTGTCCTTCTAGCATCTTCCTCTCACTTTCTGCTCACCACTCATCCTTTAACATGATTTTTTGTTCCTTAAATCAATACAGTTCTTCTGTTCCTTGGAGCTTTTTTCTGTATATTTTCAACTTCACAGTTTAATCCCCATTATAAAAAATGCAAACTCTTTGTCCTCCCTCTCCTTTTTTCTCGCTCTAGTTTTGTGGGCTACCAGTTCCCTGGTTACCGTGGCAGCCAGTACCTGCTGGAGAAGGGCGAATTCAGACACTTCAATGAGTTTGGCGCCCGCTGCCCCCAGATGCAGTCCATCAGGCGCATCCGCGACATGCAGTGGCACCCACACGGCTGCTACACCATGTCCAGCAAGTGAAACCCGGAGAGGGCGAGGAAGAGAGGGATTGGAGGAGAGACGCAGCATAGAGAGAAAGGGGAAAGTGAAGAAGGGAGGGTCAAAAAGGAGAGGAGGAGGGAAAGAGTGTAATACTCCTCCTCTGAATAACCTCTGGGCCGTTAAGGGGCAGGATTGAGGGAATTCATTTTCACAGGGTATTTTTAGTTCTTTCAACAATGTAATCAAAGTATAGAGGGAGATATTTACATAGATCACTAAACCAACTATGCACCCTTTTTTTGCGCTCCCTCTCACATCATCTCTGTTCGTCAGCTTGCTTCTCCCCACTCTCCTCCCTCCTCCCCTCGCTTCCTCCCTCCCCCTCAAACTTCTCTTTCACATCACGTCAGCCCCTATCACTGCCTGACTGTCGGCAGGGAACCAGTTTGGATTTGTGTCTGCTCTTGTGTAGAGGAGCTGAGACAGAAGAAAACCCACGACAAGATAAGTGGTCACAGATTGTCTGTGCTGAGACTCTCAAAACATATTAGCATGAAAGCCAAATAAAGCCTCTCACATCCTGCTCCACTTGAAATTATGTCTTTTTTTTATTCAACAAAGTTTGCATGCAATGACTATGAGAAGCGATATTTCTAGAAGATGTCTTTTGGTTGTTTAAGATCTCTATTCTTTGGCTTTCAGCCTTCATTTGATTGGACAGTGGATAAGAGTAAGAAATCATGGAGAGAGAGGGTGAGGAATGACATGCGATCAAACCCAGGCCGACTGCTAAGAGGTCAACACATGGGATCGTACACGTAACCTCTAGGCCATCTGCACCCCTAGGGTTCATTATGTATTACTGTCAATTATGTGTTGCAGATTTATCTAACTGTATTGTTGGTTGACATTCAGCTTGAGATCCTTAACTTGAAGTTGTTACAAACACACACTGACTCAACAGACAGCACAATCAGCACATGTTTTAGTGTCTTTAAGCTTATATTTTGGTTCTACAGGTTCAAACGCATCAAGCAGAAGCAACTTGGTTTAACCCAATTAATGCTATGGAGCATTTGGCTGAAGAGATATTTCCCTCTGGGGTTGAAGTTGAACTAAATCTTAGAAAAAAGAAAGCCAAAATCATGTATCAGGTAGCCAAAAACAGTCAAATGAGTATGAATGTCAGTATCTGATCGTTGTGTCTAAATACTAAACCTAAACATTTGTAACATCAGGAGATAATAAATCAATGGTCTTTGGCTTTTGTCTGCTTCCCCCAAAAGGGGTAACTTAACTTTTTTTTTTACAATTAGTTTTACAAATAAAAGTCAGCATATGTGAAATATATATATGTCAAAATAGACTTATACAGTTTAATGTTGATCAAGTTGTGTCATTTGGAGCTGAAGTCTCCAGCTAGTACAAAGGAAAAAAACAGACCAAATGAATGTTATGAAAAAAGTTTGATTGGAGAAATAAAGGCTGCCTAAATGTTTCCATAAACACTGCCTCCACAAAATTTGTACAAAATAATAATGAATATTCTGTAAAGAAAACAACGGATTGAAGAAACTGAGTGACCCAACATTAGATCACACGTATGCTAAACTAATTTTACTGCATCTAACATTGGACTGAAATCTTTACAGTCACAAGTTGCATTTTCATAGAAAATTGTATTTAATTGAGATTTCCTGTCAGACCCAACATTTATGTTAATGGACCTCTTTTTACACAAGATTCATTTCTACTGTCTAACTACTCAGACTTGGAGTGAATTGAAGAATTGAGCGGCTCACTGAATTTGTTTCAGTTTGCGTCCACTCAACGTGTGATTTCTCAACATAATGATCCTGCAGTGACACAGATTTGATTTGTACAGATGGAAAACAATTTCAACCAACATTGTTAATGTTTGAAAGAAGACACCGCTTCAACTCCTCCAGCACTCTCTCTACAGGAGCACATTATAGCTGGATGCATGCTTTATTCTCCTCACCACAGAGAATATTAATACTCTGCGTGCTGTGTTAACGTCAGCCACGGAATTGAATTTTCCAGCATTCAAACTTTAAATGAAATATAATCGATTATGCTCTGCCTACCTCTTCCCCTTATGCTCATGAAATATTCAAAACTCCCAAACTTCATCCTTCATGACGTTACTGCAAATTCTGTTGGTGTGGTGAGATTTTCCCTCCGTCAGTGATGAAAAGACTATTTTAAAAGCAAGCTTTTAGCTGACTGGGGTTCAGAGTATTCAATGAGCTTCAGTAAATTATATCAGGGTGTTAGTCAACCATTGTCAAGCCTGAAGTGACCGCACAGAAACATGATTCACTATGTTCTTTCCGTTTGTTCACGCTATCAATACAAAAGCTATTCATATACAACAAAACATGTTCACACTCTAAATTTAAACACAATAACATGCTTCTTGCTCCTACTTCAAAAGTGGCTCAGTTTATCTACAGCAGCCTTTCCTGAATTTAAGACTGCCGCGGCCCACTTTGATATACAAAATTACTCTGGGGCCCGTTATAAAACTAAAGTTTTGACTACATCTATCACTTTCAGTTATGGTAAATTATTGGACATGACAACATGATATTATGGCAAGATAGACACAAATGTTTACTAAACATTATGTCCATGAATAGTCATGACACGCCTTACTAATCACTGAAAGGGTTGACTCATGGTAAATCATCATTATTGGGATATTTCTTTTATTTTTATATTTGATGGAGGACTTTTTGCGGCCCACCTGCAGTACCCACATGGCCCACACTTTGGGAAGCACTGATCTACAGTATCTTTGTTGAGTGCTTATGCAGGAAAGCAAGATTCCTTGTTGAGCGATACCAAAAGGGGAATGAGTTTCTAATTGTTTACAAAGCTCAGTAATGAGTTACCCCAGTTATTGACTTTTGCAGTTATATTGTTTGACATTTAAAAACATGTGGTATTGGTAGACTTGGGAGTGCGGGGGGGATCCACCTTTGGGTACTAATGTTTAAAAAGTGCCCTCTTGGATGCTTCTATGGTAGATAAAACATGATGAAGTGTCCTCCAGGGTACCATTCCTGAGGTTAGACGTGCAGTGGTGATTCTAGAGCATGTTGGGGCCCTATGCAAAAATCAACTGAGGGGACCTACTACCAACATTCAGCAGGGCAATGAGAATGAGTGCTGTCAGATGGGGCCCACTTAGGGAGGTTTCCTACCATCATTGCAAAATTTTCACATTTTAGGCCGCTGCGTTGGGGCCCCCTACTGGTCTGGGGCACCAAGCAGTTTCCTGCCTTGCCTGTTGACATGCATTGCTCTGTAGCCGTGGTGACGTGACCTCCATGGTGCCCTGCCATGGACACATGGTAATGTGCCCTCCAGTGGAAAAAACGTGGTAACACGCCCTCCAGGGTACCTGTCCAGTGGACAAAACCTGTTGAAGTGCCCTCTACAGGGCATGTGTCCTGTAGTGTGCTCCTACCCTTCAAACATCCTGAGTCTGTTGGTGTTGCTGTCTTGTTTTATTGGGAGCCAGATATGGACATATTTGAACACGTCTACTTGTGGGCTGTAGATGAGCAACAGGTTTGCAAATGCTTAGTTGTCAACGTTATGAAGTCTAAACCCTGTCATCAGTTGGAGAATTAAATAGAGTATTTCCCACTAAAGAGTCTGCGCCAGTCTCTGACTGGAGTTATTCATTTATTTGATGAAAAAAGCTAAGAGAACTTGTGTGAATATTTGATGCTCTCTGAACATGACTGAACGAGTGGTCGAGATCAAGGAGGAATTAACCATGTTATCTTGAGAAACATTTCACTACTTTTCACTTCAGCCAGCCGTCCTCTCTAAGATCTTTGAATGTAAGATTGTTGTTCTGATTGCAAAATCAATCCCGACTGCACAGACACATACATCAATGTATAGGAAACAGTTAATAAGGTAACAAGTCAGGTACAGTGCTAAATATTATAAAGGGATTATAATTCTAGAATTTCACTCAAAGATGTGAAGGCCTGTTGGTGCAATAAATAATAATAAATCCGACAGCAAGCCATACTACAGTTTTATTCTAAATATATCCAAAAGGCTGTTAAAAAGATTTGTCAACATGGCAAGTTCAGTGACTGACATCATGCAGACTAGAAGCCATACACAGCTATAGTAACCAAAACTATGTCACCCAGGCAGTAAGCATGTTTGTGCAGTAAAGTTGGTCATTTCAGTATTGGGCTGTTTGGGGATTGACTCACAGAACTCAAGCAGCCATCAAAGGAACCATAGTATTTGGCAGTTATTTCTACTAAAATAATACTTTCAGCATTACATATACGATCAAAGTAAAAGGAAAGTAATTCTTGTGCATCTCTGAGTTTCAACAATTATTCAACTCTTCCCTGGGACCAAATCAATATCTTGGAAATTTTGAGCTGCATTAAATGAAACAAAGAGGACGAGGCTAGATGTTTCAGTTTTTTGCTGCTACTCATTTGTGCAAACCTTTCACCCTTTTAAATTCAGATTATGAAGTAGAAGTAGACATAAGGCTATAGTGCTGTACTGACTACAGGGCAATGTTAGACACACCAAATGCATATATTTATATATAACCCCTAACATTGTTCATGGCATCATGCCTATGACCCGGACAGCTTAGGAAAGTCATTTTTCTTCAGTAGAGTATGAAGTTAAGTTCTCAAAGCACACACCCTGTGGTTCACTTTCTGCACAGTTGGAGCATTAAGAGAACTCGTAAGGCTTTAATGAAGATACAGCTTTTCTGGGTTTACAATTTATATAAAAATATGAGAAACTGTCTTGAAAAGAAAATCTGACTCACTGATTGAAAAGTGTTAAAAATGAATGGGATTGTATTCATAAAAACGGCAGGAGGGAGTATGACTGCATCTCCGGGGGAGCATTGCAGTAAATAAGGAGCAATTTCTCAGTTTGAAATGTTGTTGCCTGTGACTTTAATTGCAGGCTGAAGCTAAAATGTCTGTGCTGTAGACTCCTGTTAATTATTAATTTATTTTGCATTATACATCAATTCGCTCTGTTATTGAGGTCACTGACAGAACTCTCTGGTGTGGAGGATTTGAAGTCCAAAGACGAAGCCCTTTGAATTCAAAACAGCTCTGACAGATTTGACTTCTCCATTAATAATGGTTGTACTAGAACTGATAGTAATTTTCCATAAAAAACTGAATTGAAAGTTGAAACTGAACTAAATTAGGGGCGCTGGTGGCACAGTGGTTAGTGCGCGCGCTCTATGTACGCAGGCTATAGTCCTCAGAGCAGGTGGCCCAGTTTCAAAGCCAGCCTGTGGCTCCTTTCCTGCTTGTCATTACTTACCTGCTACCTGATTTCCAGCTCTATCCACTGTCCTATCTTTCCATTAAAGTCATAAAAGCCCAAAAATAAATCTTTAAAAAAAAGAAACTGAACTAAATTGCAAGAGGTAACCTGAAACCCTCCAATTCAAAAACACATTATCTTCATATATGCATCATGTGGGTGGAAAAAACAACTTAAATCTGAAAATCTATAGGAAAATCAAATCTCATA